TTTTAATAATAATCCCCATGGAAATATTCCCCGCTTCTGAGTGGGAATTAAACGGGTGCCCAAGAGGCCATTGAAGGCGGCAAGGGACTTTTGACCCCGCTTCCGAGTAGGAAGTAAACGGGTGCCCAAGAGGCCATTGAAGGCGGCAAGGGACTTCTGACCCCGCTTCCGAGTAGGAATTAAACGGGTGCCCAAGAGGCCATTGAAGGCGACAAAGGACTTTTGATCCCGCTTCCGAGTAGGAAGTAAACGGGTGCCCAAGAGGCCATTGAAGGCGGCAAGGGACTTTTGTTCCGTCTAGAGTATACATCTCTGAAAAACTTGATTTATTGAATTCAAAGGTTAACATACGAAATATTCATCAGCTACCGAGCATACTATGATTAATCTATATCAACTACTATACGAAATTTAAATCAGAATTTTCCTAACTCAACTAAAACCTAATCTTCCTAACACACAATATTACCTACCCTACCAACAACTACATATGCTCGCTTGTTTCCTATTCCTACCAAGTTCCGAACTCTTCAACTGAAATACCTTTTGAGCTTGCCCGCATTCCAGTATCGTGGGATAGATTTCCCATCCAAGTGCTCTATCTAATAAGCTCCTGTACTAGTGGCCGATGTTACTCGGTACGGACCTTCCCAATTAGCTGCTAATTTCCCATCTTTTGCATTCTTATTTCTCAAATCTGCCCGCCTGAGCACCAAATCTCCTACTTGAAATGTTCGCTTGACGACTGTTCTATTGTATCTTGTCGCTGCTTGGATGCCATTTCAACGATTGTTGTTTTGTCTCTTTCTTCTTCCAACAACTGCATATCAATCTTCATCAACTCACTATTCTCTTCCTCTTTGTCCTCTGGAACTAATTTCCTTCTCCATGATGGTTCTCCGACCTCCACAGGTAACATTGCATCAAACCCGTAAGTCATTTTGAACGATGTTTCTTGGATACTAGACTGCACAGAAGTTCTATATCCCCATAACACATTGTCTAGCTCTTCCACCCAACTTCCTTTGCATGCTTCCACTCTTCTTTTCAACCCGTTTGTCAGAATTTTATTTGCCGACTCCACTTGCCCATTCGTTTGTGGGTGTTCAACTGCTGCAAATTGGTGCTTTATTCCTAAGTCGGCTACTACCTGCCGAAATTTTTTATCTATGAACTGTGTCCCATTATCCGTTATGATTATAGCAGGAATACCAAACCTGCACACTATTTTCCCAATAAAAAACTTCTGGACTTTTCGAGCAGTAATAGTGGCGACGGGTTCTGCCTCTATCCACTTGGTGAAGTAATCAGCTGCCACTATCAAGTATTTTACCCCTCCAGCTGCTCTAGAAAACGGACCCAAAAGGTCCATTCCCCATTTAAAAAATGGCCACGGAAATGAAATCGTGAACAACTCTTCTGGAGGAGCTTGATATATATTAGAAAACTTCTGACACTATTCACATATGCGTACATGTTTTTTAGCATCTTCTCCCATTGTTGGCCAAAAATATCCTGCTCGTATAGCTTTCCTTGCTAATGACTTCCCTCCAAGATGATGGCTATTAATCCCCTCATGTATTTCTTCTAACACATATTCCGTGTTCGACGGAGCTATGCATTTCAGCAAAGGGGAATTTATTCCTCTTCTATACAAATGTCCTTCTATCATTACAAACCAAGCCGCTCTTCTTCTCAGCCGACTTGCTTCCATTTTTTCCTTTGGCTCCCTTCCTTTTACCAAATAGTCCGTAATTGGACTTCTCCAATCCACTTCTTCGACCATCCACACCACACTAGGAGCTCGAATATTCTGTTGTATAATGGTCCTCGGATTTCCTGAGGCTTTAGTACTTTCCAACTTGGACAACACATCTGCTCTAACATTATCGTTTCTCCGAATGTGCTCCACTCAGACCTCCTTAAATTCTTTCATCAACTCTTGTACCCTTGCCAAATATTTGATCATAATCTCCCCTCGAGCTTGGTATACTCCACTTATTTGTGAAGTTGCCAACTGAGAATCACTAAACACCTCTAATTGCTCGGCTCTGAGCTCCTTTGCCAAAATTAACCCGACGATCATTGCTTCGTACTCTGCCTGATTGTTACTCGTGGGAAACTCCAATGCCAGCGAATGTTCTACTGTCACCCCTTCTGGGTTTTCTATTATAATCCCTACCCCACTGCCTCTTTTGTTGGACGACCCGTCCACAAATAACTTCCACCGATCATTCTCTTGCTTCCCTCCGGGTTGTGTCATCTCTACCACGAAATCGGCTAAAGCTTGTGCTTTGATCGCGTTATGTGCTTCAAAATGAATGCCAAATTCCGATAACTCTACTGCCCATGCCACCATCCGACCTGCGAGATCCGGCTTATGTAACATTTGCCTTATTGGCTGATTAGTCCGGACAACTACCTGGTGACATTGGAAATACTGATGAAGCCTCCTTGCTATAATCAAGAGTGTAAATGCCACTTTTTCCACATGTTGATATCTTGTTTCTGCTCCTTGTAACACCTTGCTTATGAAATATACTGGTTGTTGTTTCCCATCTTTCCCTTCTCGTACGAGAACTAAACTGACTGCCTCTTGTGAAACAGACAAATATAAGTACAACACTTCGCCTGGTTCCGGCTTACAGAGAATTGGCGGCGAGGTGACACGAGCTGTCAAACTCGTGCAAATTAAAAATTATTTTTTAATTAGGGTTCAGAAAATTTGCAGTAAAGTGGAAACCCTAAGTCGTCTCTCAAAAAAATTGTTTGGGTAAAAATCGTTTTTGAAAACAGAAAATAAAAGGGGGTTTTAGATTTTGATTAAATAATTAAAAGACAGAATGTAAAAATTGGGATTAAAAGCTCGTAATTAAAAATTAACCAACCTAAGGTTAGGGTTCCTAGGATAAAAATTACCAAATTCGTGATTAACCTCAATTGAATCAGAATCCTTATTTTCAATTGAGAACAATCTGATGATCATTCTTTTCCCATAATCGCAATCGCGAACCTCAGATCGAATATCCACATTCGCACGATATCGATCTGAGTTAGGGTAAAGAAACGAATCTGATTAGAGAGTGATCGCGAATCCTCTAGACAGATCCATGGAATCCCTTCCCCTTAGGTTGATTAAAGGGTTTTAGCCTAGCATGACTAGGATAAACATGATTAAAAATTAAAATAAATAAAAAGAAGAAGAAGAAAAGACGAAGAACGCTTCAGAGAAAATGTTTTGATCCTCTAATTCGAAAATTACAAGATGAATAAAAGTTTTCTACTCTGCCGTCATATACCGCTACCCAAATCGGGTTAGGGCTCAGTTCTGATCGGCCCATCTATCTATAATACGAAATAAAATAAATAAAATAAAATAAAACTAAAACTTGGCTTTGGGCCACATAAGTAATTGGGTTTTAATTTAAATTACAAGTCCAATAATCAAATAAAACTTCAGCAAAATGCGTCCAACTTGGCGTCCGAATCGACCAGCTTCCAGTCCGAATTGGGCTTCGAGCTCTTCATAAGAATTGTAGATATTTGTGTTATCTGAAAAACCCAACAAGAACGGAGTCAATCCGACAACTATGGATCGAGATATGGCCAAAATACAGAAGTAACATAAAGCTGAAAAATTCTGACGAAAATAAATTAAACACAATCAAAAACTAAAAATCTAAATTAACTCTAAAAATAATTATTTTATTCAAATAAATCCTAAAAATACTAATCAAGAGTAACAAATAAGTGTAATAAAATATGAGTTATCACGAGGCCAACATCTCCTTGAAACGCTGAAATGCTGCTTCACATTCCTTCGTCCATACAAAATTGCTTCCCTTTTTTAGAAGTTGAAACAATGGCAAAGACACATGTGCCGACTTGGCCAAAAATCTGGACAAAGTTGTTACTCGCCCGTTCAACTTCTGGACCTCTTTTATATTCTCCGAGCTCTTCATTTCCATCACTGCTCTACACTTGTCTGGGTTAGCTTCAATTCCCCTTTCTGTTAAAAGGAAACCCAAGAACTTTCCAACTGGAACTCCGAAAGCACACTTATTTGGATTTAAGCGCATATTATGCTTCGTGACTTGCTCAAACACCTCATGCAAGTCTTCTAGATGCGTCTGACCGTCTCCCGACTTCACAATCATATTATCCATGTACACCTCTAACATTCTACCCATCTGTGCTTTAAACACTTTGTTCATCATTCTCATGTACGTTGCCCCTGCGTTTTTTAATCCTAATGGCATGACATTATAGCAATACACTGCATCTTCAGTTATGAACGCTGTTTTTCCTGATCTTCTTTCCATAACGGTATCTGATTATACCCGGAATATGCATCCATAAATGACAACACTTTTTACCCGGACGCGTTGTCTACTAAATGATCAATACTTGGTAATGGAAATGGATCTTTAGGACAAACTTTATTCAAGTCTGTATAATCTGTACACATTCTCCACTTCCCATCCGGCTTCCTTATCAACACCAGGTTGGCTAACCATGTAGCATATTCTATTTCTCTGATAAACCCCGCTTCTAAAAGCTCCTGTGTCTTTTCTTCAATGACCTTCCTCCTTTCTACACAGAATCTCCTCTTCTTTTGGGCTACCGGCTTTACTCCTGGGGTCATTGCCAAGCGATGGCAAGACAATGCCGGATCCATGCCGGGCATATCTGAGGGTTTTCATGCAAACAAATTAACGTTCTTTTTCAACAACCCCTTCAAACTCTCTGCCACCTCAGGTTCCAACTTGGAACCCATCTTCGTACACTGCTGTGGAGATATCCCCAATTGAACTTCTTCCATAGCTCCAGCGGGTTCCGGCCTCTCCCCGTTATCTTCCTCTCGTGGATCCATCCCTACTACCATTACCTGTTCTTCCTTTTTTCCCTCCTTATCTCTTTGTATATTTCCTTCTTTCGCTTTTCGTGCCGGCTCCATGATATTTTCTCCCTTACTTGCTTGCGGAACTCGTAGACTCATATTATAACAACTCCCAGCAACCACTTGGTTTGCCTTTATCGGCTACTGACCCATCTTCGGCCACAAATTTCATAGCCAACTGGTCAATCGACAAAAATATCTTAAACTTCTTCATGAATGGCCGCCCCAAAATAATATTGTACGCCGAGCTCAAATCTACTACAGCAAACGACAAGGTGACCGTTTTATGCGTGGGTGCTTTGCCTAAAGTCAACCTCAAAGGGATATACCCCAATGACTTAATTTTAGCCCCTGTGAAAGCTAGCAACTCGGCTCCACATGGTTCCAACTGGTCATAATCCAAATCCATTCTTCTAAAGGCATCCCAAAATATAATGTCCACCAAACTCCCAGGATCTACCAACATTCTATCAAAGCGATAGTTTGCTAGCAATCCTGAAATGACTAGAGGATCATCATGCTCTGGATCTATTATCTCATCGTCCAAGTCTTCAAAAACTACATGTTTGCCCGTCTTTCTTCTTTCCTCTTTGAATGTGGCTTATCTGAAATAGCCATGCACATTTTCAAATGTTTTTTACGGGCATTACTCGACTTTCCTCCTCCTGCTCACCCCCGGCTATCGTACATACGTGACCTATCTGGACCGGATTGGGGGATGTTTCTTTTTCTTTCTGAATCTTGCCAGCCTCTTTGATTCTTCCTCCTGGCGGGCTCCGACTACGATATGGTCGTCGATATTTGTCTTCATTACTGCCATCTCCTTCTCTTCTCACATACTTCTGTAACTTCCCTTCTTTGATCAACCATTCAATAACGTTCTGCAAGTTATAACAGTCGTTTGTATGGTGCCCGTACCCCCGATGAAATTCACACCATTTTGTCTTGTTTGTCTGCGCGAATATTGACTGAATAGGTGGCGACCTTGGGACATTTCTCATCTCTGTAGACATTACTTCTTTCAATATCTGAGCTCTAGATATATTCAACGGTGTGAACTCCCTCCTATATGCCTCTCTAAATCTTTCTCCGACTAACCTAGGCCGCCTCTCTTCAAACTGCCCTCTTCCTGCTGGTCTCTCCGGCCTCCGACCTGGATTTGTGTCTCGAAAACCTTGCTCAATTTGCTTTTGAGAAGATTTAAATTCCTCTAAATCAATGTATTTTCGAATTCTTTCCAACAAATCTTCTTTTGTAGCCGGACACTTTTTGGCTAACGAGTTCGCGATCCCTCCGGGTTGTAATCCAGTAGTGAACAACAACAAATACGTCTGATTTTGTAACCCCTTGACTTGTCTTGCTTCTGCTTGAAAGCGTTCGTAATAATCTCTCAACTTTTCTCCAAGCTTTTGTCTTACTCCGCACAAATTATGCGTGGTTTTGGGCTGAGGTCCATAATGAGCAAACTATTGCACGAACCGCTGTGATAAGTCCACCCAACTTTCAATGTAGTTATCCGGTAAAATCGTAAACCACTCTAAAGCCTATTTTCTTAAAAACACAAGAAATGTTCGACATAACAAAGAATCTGATTCTCCACATAAGGACATTGCTGCTCGGAACACTGTCACAAACTCCTTTGGATCTGAGCTTCCATCATACGCCTTTATGTCATTCAGTTACTTAAACCAAGCTGGGATTGGTTCCGCTCTGAGCCTCCAAGACAAAGGATTTCCTGATGGGCCTTGATTTATCGGGGGTACAGGAATCCCCTGTTGAGCTCCTCCGAGTTGTTCATTCTATCCGGGTACATCTTGCTCCCTATTGGTCATTTGTCTATTACCGTACTGGGGACCAAAGCCTTACGCCTGCCCTGGTCCGTAATGTTGATAACCCCAATTCATAGGGTTGTTACTCGCTTTCCACCTTCCTCCTCCCTGACCTTGATCTTCGCCCAAGTGATAATACTCGGTATCGTCTCGTGGGAACTTGCCCCTGTGATTGACATAACTTCTTCCTCCTTCTGGCGTCCACCTTTGATAAGTCTCTTCGTATCCCACTCGGTTTGCCTCTCGTTCGTCTTGACGAGGATAATCATGGCAGGCTCTCAGGTATTGTTCTTCCTCCCATATCTCCTCTTCCACCTGTTCACCTTCCCTATTCTGATACTGTTTAGTTCTCCCCGTTCTCCGGGCATAATCGTCATGTATTCGTTCTTCTATCCTCGGATTTGTTCCTCGTCCTCCGCCTTGATAGCCCCTCCTTTTTGGAGGACTCCTTGACTCTTGACGAGGTTGTCCTCTCCTTACTTCATTTCCTCTATTTCCCCCCACAGTTGGGGCGATAAAGGAATATAACTAGGAGGAGACAAGGAATCCCTCCCCCTGTTGGGTGACTGCTGCCCATTTCCTACAGGGTGTCTTTCTTCCACACCACGTCTCTTTTGCCCTCCTTCTTGATGTTGCCTATTCCTGATATCCTCCACCAATTGAATCAAAGCTTTTCCAATGGTGTTGAGAGACCGACTCCTTCCACTGGATCGAAAAGAATCTTCCTCTCCATCGTATCCTCCATCGTCCTCCGCTCGCTCATCATGGTAATGGCTTGCCATGACTCAAGAAAATGCGTAGGAATTTTTTACCTATTCCCACAGACGGCGCCAAATGTTCTGGATGAACATAAGTATGGTTATGGTATTGTTAAAGTCTACCTGGCGTTAGGCAGCTACCCTTAATATTTATAGCTCTGTCTTAGGTAGTTACTCTAATCGTGGGTTGTTATCCTCACTATCATCTAATCGTGGTAGGACCCACATTTGGCTTCACTAGGCGGTTAACTTAACTGCTTCTTCGGGTAAAGGTACTTTCGGGTTCTGTCAGAGGTTATCCTCAGCTAAAGATACCCGGATGTATTAACCCGAAACATTAATATTTTTTTTAGTAAATACAAAAGCATCAGTAAATGATAATATAATTTTTTTTTGGACAATGAGATAGAAAGCTCTACATAGATGAAATTTTTGAGGTTTAGTTGATGGGTTAATGGGTCTTGGGTTTAGAAATTTTTGAGCTATGATTGGAGAAAGACCCAAGTAGGTAGAAGGAAATTAATATATTGGATCGGTTTTTATCTACCAATCCAAAAACGGATCCAATCCAATTAAAATTTGCGATTTATTCGGATATAGGTTTTTCGGTTCGGTCACCGCGGTTTGAATCGGTTTGGATCGGTTGATGAACACCCTTACCTCACAGGGTATTTGGCAATAGAATTTTATCCCTTAAAAAAAAAGTATATTCTTTCTGTCTATATTGATATTTATACATTTAATTGGCACCCTACTTGCAGCATTTATATGTTTATGTTTATTTTCACGCATTTTTCATGTGATGCTATTTTTTTAACTCATTTCAAGTTCCTATGTTATGATAGATAGACACCTTGTCATGATCCATGTCATACGTATAATATATTTAACATTTTCTCTTATATTTATCTTCTTTTTATATTCCCAAAACCATATATATATATATATTAAAAGGAGAATGATTCATTTTACAATTTTTTTTTACAAATTACACTAAATATTAAAAGGAGAATGATTCATTTACAATTTTTTTTTACAAATTACACTAAATATTAAAAGGAGAATGATTCATTTACATTTTTTTTTACAAATTACACTAAGTATAACCGGTTATACACTCTTGATTGAAGTATGACCGGTCATACTTAGTGTAGTTTGTAAGAGTTTGTAAACAAAAAGTTTGTAAATATATAACCTTCCCCATAAAATAAAGAAAGAAAGAAAAAATATAAAAAAATGGTTGATGGAAAAACATCTTTATTTTCTCTAATAAAAGAGAACTAAAGAGCTGAAGGAGAGGATACAAAGTAGGAGAGCACTTTCCCGGGGGTATTGACCATTGGATATGACGGGAGATTTTACACTATATACTCTATGAAGTACATAATATAAACTACTAAAATTGCTTTTTTTCCCTTTCTTCAGAAAAATATCAGTTGATGTGGTGCATTTTCATTGGTCTGTTGTACCTACGACAGGTGTACTAAATTTTTTTCCAAGAAGTAAGGGGAGATAAAAAGGTAGAATGAAAAATGCAAGAGAGTTAAGCGCTTCGTGAGAAATTATTGAAGATAACCTTGCAAAACTCAAAAGTAGATTCCCCATCTATACCCGAGTTGTACTCTAAAATATTTGTAGATGTAGATTCAAGATAATAAAGACATTTACACATCTAGACATAAATAAGGAATACACTTTGGATTATTGAAGGCAATGTAGTTTACCATAGGAATTTCATTCATTTATTAAATATAGGATTGGAAATAATTCTTATAAGGTATATAGAAATGGTTCAAAAAATTGAAATGATAAAATTCAACGTCAAAAGGATGACTAAGACTTGTGGGACTCTTGATATGCATCGTAGTGAAAATGTTCAAAGTATTCTTCTTAATTCAATAGATTTATTCAACAAGAAGATTGAGAACTGTTGGACCGAGATGTGCTTTAGGAAATGCAAGAGCAAAATATGAGAGGAGCAAGTGTATGTTCGGGAGCATAATCAGTTAAGAGCAAATCTATCCAAGCTGCGCAAGCGCACACATCAAGCAATATAAGGTTTCATCTGAGTCTCATATTATCGTTCTCAGGGAACAAATGTAAAAATGATGTTTTAAAAGAACTACTGATAACAATAAGAATAATAACACACTTCAAGTAGCAATTGCATTCTAAAACTAAGGTTAACCAACGAGCACTTATCACTAGCTATTTGAACTAAGTTAAATAATTTGCAATGACCAAGTATTGGGTTTATCCTTTTTGTTTTATCGAACTAGGTCTTGAAAGAATATGTCAAAGTAATGAGTGACAGAAAATTAAATCAACAATTAATAATAATAAAAAACAAGAGCAATCAAGTCTAGATTTAATTGTGAAAGCTTTTTATCATCAAGTGTTAACAAGAGACAAATTAAAATGATGTAATTCAGAGAGAGAAATGCGTAGGCTTTGGGGTTGATATTTTCACCCTGTTAATCGTTCCTACAATGTCATAAGCTTTTAGAATTGAAACATGCTCCGAGCAGTTATACTGTGTATTTGCTCCTTAGATAACTTGAAGTAAAATGGCCACATTTACTCCAAATTATCCTTAAGGATTCAATTGAAAACTCAGGTGAGATTCTGTTTGCCTCCTTCAAAGAAGTATGCCTGAAGGATTACTAACTAAAGCGATTTACGCACAACTGTGCTCCTCCTTCCGGGTATTCCTTTATCTCAGAGTAAATACCTTAAGACTTCTAAATTGCTCCATACTACCTTGTGTAGGGTCTCATCTTACTAGGTGGTCCCATGATGAAATTAAAAACCAAGAGATATCACAATATTAGAACATTAAACCAAGAAACACACATTTCAACTAAAAAAATAGATTTCCAGTACAAGTCTAATCTAAAACAAAGATGGTTACTTCTATCTCACCTTCAGCCTACTAGAGAAACTTAGCTCATGCTTAGAAACATGACAAAAACCTAAAGAAAAATTAAAAATTGCAGAAAGCTTAAAGTGCAAAAAATGGTGTCTAGCCTTCAAATCAGTGTCTCCTGTAGAAGGGTCCAATTTCTCCCATTTAATTGCTAGTTCTTTTTCTTTCTTTTCATGGTTGCTCTCCACCGTTGATTTAATCGAATGCTCTTAATCTTTCAAATCCTCTCCAATAAGGGTTCTTATTTCTGCTAAGCCAGCCCTATTCATTGTAGCAATTATTAGTACACTGACGTTAAGGTGCTGCTACATTCTTTCTCTGCTACCACTGATGTGGCACTTCAGGATTGGTTCGCGTATGCTCTAAGGACGCTGTAGCAGTTGCTTTTTGCTTTAGTGTCTCTTTTGTCTTTTTCTGATTGCTTCACTCCCAAGTTTGCTTTTAACAATGGTTGAGTTTTCTTCTAATGAAAAATAGGCTCCTGTAAAAAGAAATCTAGCCCATTAAGCCTAATGATAAAAATTAAGTTAAAATGCTTATAGTACTACTCAAATTCCATATTCGTGCTTACTCCAGCCCAAGCTATTCATAAATTGTTTCTGAAGACAAACTTGGAATAAAACACCTAAAACTTAATAGCAAAAAGAAGAATTTAGGAGCATATAAACACTAAATGGTTTTTAATTTTTGAGAACCATCAAGAACTATGGTTTTGGGGATTTGACATTAAAAGCCTATGTGTGTCACTTTACAGGGGGCGTTTGGTAGAGATTTTTGTTGTAGATGCCCAGGCAACCTCCACTGGTATTCTTTCTTGACTATGTAATATTTGGTACAAGAGTCAAAAAATATAACCAGGCAAATCCTTTACCCAAAATTTTGGTTTCTTTGCAAAATTTGAAGAAATTTACTGTTCGAGAAAACCACTTGCGATGTGATATTTTGGGGTTTGCTGGAAAACAGAGAAAAGGAGCGCGAAATGGAGACGAAAATGACCCTGAGATGTACTGTTGTCATCAGTCTCTTTCCTTTTATTTGAGATTAAAAAATTAAAGGGGTTTCTTTTGTAATTTTAACCCATTTTTTATCAATATTTTATCTTCAACCAAATATAGACTTAAAAACTTAATTAATTTTTTCGAAAATATTTCACCTTACCAAACAATTTTTTTTCAACTTTACCAGCAAATTTACTTTCCCACCATCTTCCAAGTAATTATATTTACCTGGTTAATTTTTTTTCTCCTCTACCAAACACTCCCTATAAAAAAAATCGATGGGAAACAAAATCCATACACATTCAATAAATTTAACATATTATTAAAACAAAAGGAATGTGCGAGCCACAATCATTGATGTTGATATATTCATGCATTATATCTTTTTTTTTTTTTGACATTGACATGCATTTTGATTTTCTTTACACTTTCTACTTCAAAAGCTCACTTCTATTGTCTTTAAACACTTCTTCAATGTAAACCCCTTCTTCATCACTTTTATCAAAATGTTTTATATTTGCAACTACTTTTTGAAGATTTGGAGTTATATATTATACCTGTATACTCAGCTGTATTGTCCTCCTCTACATTTTCATTTGTCCTAAGCGTAAATTATCATCAATTTAGGGTTATAGATATTGCCATGCTGAAAATTATATTTATATTTTCCATCTAAATTATGACATAATTTAACAGAATAATTTGAATAGAAATACATTCAAGTAAAAATTTGGATTAATTAATAAGTTAAGGTACTAAAAAAAATAAAAAATGTAATCTAAAATGAGTAAATTAAAAACGTAATCTAAAATGAATGTAAGACTAATATATAAGCATGACGAATTATTTATTTATTTGAAATCTTCTTGTTTCTATAAGCTATTTTCAAATTCTAATTGATTGGAGTCAACAGTCAAGTGAATCAGAGAAAATTAATCAATATTTCATTAAGGAAAATGAAATTGCTTTATTATTTTTATTTTATTTTAAAAAACGACAAATAAAACGACGTCGTTTTATTTAGCAGCAAATTTGCCCTACTCTGATTCTTTCGGAGACACTAAAAAGTGAAGTACAGAAGTGTGGTTCGGATTCGGAGCTCCCATTGCCGGCGTCTTTTCCGTCGATCTTCGGTGTTTCCGGTGACTCACTTGTCTTGTGTTTGGGGCGTTTCTTTGGTGCTTTTTAATTTTGAACGAATGGGTAGACTTGTTATGAAATGAGTTATTAGTTCATGGTCTATGTTTTATGCTTTTAATTAATTAATTGTTGATGTCTTTCTTCTGTTTGATAAATTGCCTGAACAGAATGAAGTTCAATTAGATTATGTTCCACTGTGAAATTTATTTATTGATTTATTTGGTTAATAATGGAATGTTACTATGTATTTTTACTTCTGAATAAATGGTTAAGCATGTACAGCTTATTACAATGGGATTGTTCACCAGCCTACCAGCTAAACCGGTGTCTGTTTAAAGTTTTTCTTGGAATTTTTTTTTTCTTGGATTTTTTTTGAGGTTGTAGTGAAAGGATTGACTGGTTATGAAGAATTTTAAGCATGAGGAAGTCGAGATTGAGTTTCAGAAGCCATTTAAAATAAAAAAAAGTTTGATATTTTCAAATTTTATAAATTTTTACAGGGTTGTGTTCCTCCCGGAATGATAGTCTTGGGTGACAGCATTATTGAAGTCAATTCCGAATTAGATTTTCAAGTTGCAACCTGAAATGTCAGAAATGGCCAATTAATCAAATTTGTCTGTTTTTATTTAAATGTTTCATGCCTTACAACCAAAACATCTTGAGTAGGCTATTGTCGCATTACATATGAAATTTGAAAACCTGTAATATAATAGGAACAGTTTGAGCAGCAAAGATTGATGTCACCTCATTCATATAAAATCAATCTTAGTTATGTATGTTGTTGTTGGATTTCGCAAGTCAGGTTAGAGAAGAAACAGCTTGAACCGATGTTACATTTACTAGCAGTTTTAGAATCTTATAAATAAGTGAAGCTGGCATTGGATACATACATTTTTTTTCCCCTTCTTTATCCAGTTTTTCCAACTTGACCACTTATCAAGTGGTCGGATCACTAATCCGTTGACCAGGCCTCTAACCGGTTTGATGTCAGTCTGGATTGTACAGTTAAGCTTTTTGAGTGGTGAAGCAAGCTACCTTGGAGGTACTATGGAGACGAAGCGCTGCAAATTCTGGCTTCCCAACAAAAACAGATTTTGTGCAAACTCCCCTCTCAATGGTTCCTTGTAAGTTCCAATCTCTTTCTTTCTATCTATTATTTGATTCATTTCACTCACCTCTCAAATTCGTGGCCCCAGATTCTGTGGCAATCACAACTCAAGGTCCCAAGGCCAGTGGATCCAATGCCCCATAGATCCATCCCAGTAATATTTCTCCCTCTTATGCTTTTTTCAATATCATTATTAACCCATGTCCCCTCTTCTAAATTTTTAGCTTTTTCTCATTTGGTTCTTGTTCTTTCATCATTTGATAGCTCAGTGCTAGAGCAAAACCTCAATTGGCATGTTAAGCGGTGCCCATTGCTGAAACAGGTTCAATCCTTGTCCCTCCAACCGTTCTACCAAAAGGGTATCAATGCTGGTTCTGACGGAGAACAACAAGAGGAGGAAACATCAGGGGTTGATGATTCAAGCTTATCCACTATGACTGTTTCTTCAGAAATGAAGAGGAATGCTCTTCATAGGATGAGTTTGCCTGAATTTTGCAATTTGATTGAAAAGATTGAATCTTTTCATGAATCATTGTCTAAGGATATTCAGGACTCGTTTCAGATGCCAGAGGTTTGCAGCCTCTGGATTAAAAGTCGAGTAGAAGAAAGGTAGCTATTGGTGAAACCTTTTGAATTTATTTAAGGATTAAATTCTGGTTGCCCCTTGTAGTTTGTATCAAAATCATTGTGCCAGTGACTTTTATTTGTTACTCTACTCCAGTGGTTAGCTTTGTAAGCACAAAGTCCCTCATGTGTACTTCCGTTGGGATGAAGCTTACTACCATTAGTCCTACTAACAGAACTAAACATACGGGGTAATGTAACATCAAAATCACAAGGTGGGACATTGGTTACAACCCAAACTAGAAGGGGCAAACTGAAATTTAACCCTTTGTTTAATGGGTTTGATTTCTATTTCCAACTTGAGCTGTTTGCAGGAAATTGCCATTTCAGGAGAAACATATAATGCAACAGGCATCTATTCTGGGAAATTTGGAAAATTTTGGTGTATTGAAGAATTCTCTTGGAAGGAAACCATCCAAAGTGCCAGTTGAGGGGGAAGAGGACGAGTACGATGTCCCAGCAGTGATTGAGTTTGGAGCTGGTAGAGGGTATTTGACACAAATGCTTGCAGATTGTTGTGGAATCAAAAGAGTCTTCCTGGTCGAGCGCAAGGCATACAAGTTGAAGGTAGGACTTAGCCCTAGATCTGCTTTCGCTGACTTCTAAATCATGATAATCATATTTGTAGATGTTCCTAAGCTGTTTGAACTAGTAGTGATCTTTACTTAATTAATTTATTGTTTATATCATGCCAATGCTATTTCTAGGCTGATCGATCCTTGCGACAGAATGAGAGCTTGATGTTAGAGCGATTGAGAATTGACAGTAAGAGTCTTCGGTATTCTTGTTGTATAAGATATTTTCTGAACTTGTAATTATACTAGTTGTGTTGCTGCCTGCTGAGATATCTTTACTGAGGAAATCATATTGAGTGCATGGCTTGTGTGATTCTTATGTTAGAATACTTTATTAACATTTAGTGCTTATATTGTGCCTTTGCGCATATGTATCAATCTTTATGCAATGACCTTCAACATCTTTGCTAAGTTTTCTTTTAATGGTAGGGGAAAAAAAGAATATGTGATTGAGCTGTGTTCCTTTCCTCTGCAAATTTGACTGCTATATATGCATGTCTTGACTGATGTTTTCAGTCAAGTTGCATCTTTTGCTCTATTATTCTTTTTATTTGTTAGCCATTCTTTATATAAAAAAATTGTTGATCCTTTTTCTTAGTTTAAAGTGTGTCTTGAAGGGGCTGATCTATCTCTTGGTTTTGTTGATGATGCTGTTTGTGGTGGTCTTACTTTTAGCTAAATGAGCACAGCATTGAAGCTGAAGAGGGTGGACTGGAGTGGTTATGGGAACTGTATAGGGTAATATGGGGTGTATACTTTAATGGCAGGATAGGGAGAGCATGATAGAAATTTGGAATAAGAGTAGAAAATCAGGAGACCAAGCTCCTTACAAGCAGGGGTAGCCCTCTGTCAAGGCTGAAAATGTAGCGAAAAGAAAGAAGATAATGAGGGAATTCTGCAGATGCACAATATTGAATTATTTTGATTTTGTTCTGTTGCTTTCCAAATTTTAGTCAGTTTCAGGCTGCAATCAATTAAAAGTTTCCTAGTCCTGATATAATCTGCACTATTCATATTTCCTGTAATTTCATTTCTTCTTATGCTTCTTCATAATTCTGTATTAGTGCTTGATTTAGTTGTATTTTATATATTACATAATTTTGTGCCCTATAAAATTGTAAAATCCAACTATTGCAGTTGAAGATTTAGATTTGAATGCGGTTGAGTCTTTGCAAGGAGTTCCATTTCTGGCCATTGGTAAACATCTATGTGGAGCTGCAACAGGTTATAATGGCAATTTCAATAAGCATACCAATGAAATTAATGGTGATTGTTTAATTGATGAAAACATAAATGATTAATGTAATTCTGTTTTTCAGACTTGACTTTGAGATGCTGCTTACCCGAATATAGAAAAGATAGTGGTGAACAGTACACTGCTAATAATAATTTTGGAGGTTTGGCTATAGCAACATGTTGTCACCATCTTTGCCAGTGGAAACACTATACAAGTAATCAGTTTCTTCTTCATCTCTAGTAAATACTGTAGTTTGTATATTTAAACCTCTTTTTGGATGTGATGATAACTTTTGGTTACTAGCTGACTGATATGGTAGCCCTGCAGATAAAAGGTTCTTTTTGGATTTGGGGATGACAAAGGAAGATTTTCATGCCATTACATGGTTTACCAGTTGGGCAGTAGATGCAAATCATGGTTCAGATCTTCCTGATACTGCTGATTGCAGATTACATTTGCAATCAATGTAATTCTTCCAATTCTTAATCATTAAATTGAGCAGCAAAATTATTGTTACCAGTAAATTAGTATTTGAAACTGTTATAGAAACCGGTATACTAAAAGCTGTGTGTTTTGAGAGCAGAAAGGAGCAAGGTGATGGATATGCAAATGGAGTTGAAAAAATTCTCTGTGACATGGAAGCAGCTAAAAGAGCAGCACTGGGTTTTAAGTGCAAGTGGATTATTGACATGGGGAGGTTGATGTGGCTAAAAGAACGTGGATTAGATGCAAAGCTTGTCAGATATGTTCCACCTAGCATTTCTCCTGAAAATCATTTGCTAATAGCTAGATCATCAAATTGTTTATAAAACATTTATTTCGTTCTCTCGTTTTTCTTCTTTTGTCCCAATATGTTAAATTTCTTGTAGGTTGCTATGTTCTATGCTCTTTTGGACACACTAAAATAAAACGAGGAGCACATTACCATTGTATTGTCTTTGGGATTAGGATTGAATTATTTTTCATTTTTGGGAAAAATGTTTATCCTTTTAAATAACACAACGTATATCCTTTCACTCTCACAAAGAGGTGGAACTCACACCTTTATTTTTTTTTTGTCAACTCTCTCTCCTTCTTTATCTATCTTTTTCTCTCTCTTAAAATGACACAACTTTACATCTTTTAAAATGACACACATTTTTTCCTTCATCCCCCCCCCCTCAATTAGGATTAAAATGGAAGTTCAAAATTATTGATCTTCTCTTGTATTCAAGGCTCAAGCTACGAGTAAAGATAAAGGACATTGATCTTCTCTCTAGTTTATTATACCTACAAGTTAGCGCCTCTCAAACATTCAAGTCACTTACCATCTATGCTCTGGTATAGCAATATGAATGTTGAACAGGTATAAGTGAAAAAACAAAAACTGAAAGGGTGTGTGTAACTATGTATATTTTATTAAACTTCAGAGGATGCCCATCTGTTTATTATGCCCATCTGTTTATTTGGTTCTGGTATTCCGATAAGATATCTAGACATCAGCAAGTGGTATTTTTTCTTCATCACGTTTGGTTCAAGTTATTCATAAATTTAGCAAGCAAACGTATTTCCCCATCTTTATCAATTGTGAAGAAAAAATGGACAATTACAGAGAGCAAAAATCCCACTTCAAATGTCGTATTCTTGGATAACTGGGTAAATGAATAAAAGGAAATGAGAAACATGACTCAAAGGCCCTTTTCTAATCAATACTGCACATACGTTTTTTTTTTTTTTTTTGACCGACTCAAAGGAGATGAAGAGACCAAGACAGACAGATGTATGGCTGATGGTTCCTCATTTTGATTAATTAATACCCAGTTAAAAACTTGCCATGCCAGAAAAAAAAAAAAAATGGTACCCTGGCTAAGTTGGAGTCGTTGGAGGAGACATGCAAGTATTCAAATTGAAAAATATAAAAAAAAGGTTACTTTTGTCATTTTACACCAATTTTCCATCAATATTTTATCTTAAACCAAAGATAGACTTACAAAACTTTAATTAATTTATCCGGTAATATTTTGTCTAACCAAACAATTTTTTTTTTACATTTTCTTACTAAACTCACTTTCTAACTATTTTCTTATCAATTACATTTATCTAGTATTCAAAAAATTCCTCCTACACCAAAGTTGTTCCTATTATAGTTTCTCTCTCCCAAGTGTTTCTGTGTATGGCAAAAACCAAAAAGTACAAAAATATAAGTAATTAGATTTTTGAAAAAATTTTCAAAAACAAAAAGCAAAGGAAGAAAGAAGCTTCTGATCAAATTATTCTGCATTTATGTACAAAAAAAATAAAATTATTCTGCATTTCTGTACCAATCGACAAAAAGTCACAGAAGCATCTCGCCACAACCATAAAATTTATAACAAAACCTAACATTACCGCTGACACTAATTGTTTTTCTCCAAACCAGAGGCTAGGTAGGGGGCTGTAGCATTAGATCAATCCTTTCAATGGCAGCATACATGGTGAAGCAAATTGCTTTTCTTGAAACCAGAGACTAGGGCTGTAGCTTTCAGATCAATCTCTTCAATGGCAGCAGATAATCCAATTAAAATTCTCCTTTTTCTGTCTCATATGTAAATCGGAGTGAAAAAAAAGAAAAAGAAAAAAGAAATCCAAAATGTGGTAATGTTTTAAATCGCAGTTCGCAGATAAGGTGAAGCAAATCAAAACTCGTGCTTGTAAACGTAGCCGGAAGCAAGCCAAGCGAAAGCATAGTCACCGAGCAAGAGAAAGATGGTGAGCGGAAAACAGAAGAAGCAAATGGAAAGCAGGTATCTCTCTCTCTTGACTATGTAAAAATTAAGAATTTACATTGAGAAATCTGTGTCAAGAACTTATTCTCTTTTCCTTTTTCTTTTTCTTCATCATCAATCACTATTATTCCTGATGACTATCTCAGAAGCCAAAGCAGCCAACATGATGGTGGTGGTCATGGTTCGGATGATTAGTATATCTCTCTCTCATATGTTACATACAATTGAATTTAGGGGGCGTTTGATCGAAGGCTTTTTGAGATTTTCCTAGTCAAATGAAATTTGATTTTTAGAAAATCAATGTTTCGTTCAACAGGTTTTGATCAAAATTCATCTATGTGAAATGCCTGGCTTTTTGAGAAAGATAGTAATATGCACTGTTTAGATACCTGATTTGAAGGTGATTTTTCGAGAAAACCCGGGTAAAGTACTGTTGACACACTTTTTGTCATATATTTCTCTGGTAAAATTTTGACAAACCAAACTACTTTTATTTAACTTCTCCGTCTATTCAACTTTCTTCGTGGATGCCTAAAGCCCGTTTGTTTGGCCTTCAAAAAAAGTAACTTTTATCTCCTCCTTATTTTAGAATTATTTTTTATAAAAGTTAAAGTTATTTATATTTTTATAAAAATATTTAGTTTTTTTAAAAAAATATTTGACTTTTGACTTTTGCTTTTATTAGAAGTTAAAATTTTTAGCTTCTGGAAAAAGTAGGTTTTTGACTTTTTTTGTGGCTTCTGCTTCTGTTTTTTTTTAAAGCAGACATCTAAACGAACTAAAAACGAGAAGTGCTTTTTTTCTTGAAAAAAAACAGCTTTTAAAGAAAAAAAAGCCCATCCAAATGGGCCCCTAGTGATTACATTTCTAGTATTCTTAAAATTAAATTTATCTTTTACCAAACTCCCCGTAGGAATTTCTTCATTCTTATAATTATAATTATAGTTTAATTTTCGATTATTTTAATATTAAATGTTAATATTTTAATGTTGTTTAGTTTGAATGAGAGAGAGTTACTGCTCACTTTCCGTGCACACCTGCATCTCATCAATGTTTTTGATTGGATCGAAAGCGTGTGGAAAGCCATGGTGGGTTACTATGAGAATCGAGCTGGAAGCCCTGCTACTTTGTCTTCGCTTCAACAGGCCTTTGCTAAATATAATGATGAATACAAGGTGACAACCATGCTAGTTCATTATGGCATACATTTTGATCCGATACTGAACATGTTAGTTGGCGATGATAGTTGTTGGATTCAGGCTGAAACGGTGAGTTAGTTTTCGCTACTATAGTTTTGTTTATAGTTATCTTGATTTTACTGGACTATTACAGTTTTTTGTGATAGAGTTTTCTTCATGCATTTTAGGTTCATCACAACTAAGCATGAAATATAACATTTTTTTTTTTTTGGTTTTTAGGACATGCCTAGTTATCAAGAGACAATACGATATATGAAGGAACGTGTATTTGTGAACTATTATCTGCTTGAAGCTATCTTTTCCTCTTATTATCTGCGTGCAGCTTCCTTTTCCGCTTTTTGTAAAAAAGTTTATGATCCTCGTGCTTCTTCGTTCAATGCTAGAGCTTTACAATCTCATGAGGTAAAAATTGGTAATTTATCAAAGAAAGATGTGGAAGAGATGAAAGCAAAGCTATCTCATATTAATGTCCGGTTTGATCAGTTGACATCAAGGCATTCTTCCATTGTTTCTGAGGTTCTTGCGGTTAGAGATCAATTGAAAGATCTGAAGATGATGAAAAGGAGTTTACTTAGATGAGTTTGAGGACCTCAATACATGTTTTTATGTAATTTGAATTGTCTGTAAGTTTTTCATTTCTGCAATGTGCCGTGTCTGCTCATTTACCTGTCATTTTGGTGTTCTCGTGGTGTTTTAATGTTACTTCAAACATTTAAGTGCATGGATTTCACTTCTTACTTTAAAGAGGGTGATGCTAGTGCTGGTTCCTTGGTTGACCATTATAAAATGTGGTTATTAGTGGATTTCTCTTCTTACTTTAAACAGAGTGATGATAGTGCTGGTTCCTTGGTTGACCATTATAAAAAAGTGGTTATTATTAGTGAATTGAACATATCTAACAGTGGAAAATTGTTTATTACAAAGTTGAAGGCCTGCTGCTTTGCCTCATCCACCTTATCATACCCTTTGATCAAGTTGATCGAATCCATTCTATTCCAACTCAAACTGGAAATCTCAATGCCTCAACTAACTGACTAGCTTTTTTATTGTGTGTGAATATTTGCATTTCTTTTTATACACTAACACTAGTACGTACCACAAAAACACATATATCACATATATCAGTGTACTGATATGGGTGTCAATATAGGTTTTGACACACGGGTCGACTCACGACACGACACGAAAATTCGCGTTTGGATTGACCAGCAAAAAAATTCGTGTCGTGTTCGTGTTGGGAAAAATGACACGTAAAAAATCCGTGTCGTGTTTGTGTTGATGTATTCGTGTTCGTGTCGACCTGTATTTTTTTTAAATTATTATATTTTTAATTTTTTATTATTATTATTATTTTAAATTTTTTTAATTTCGATCCATTTTTTTAAATTTTTTTGTCAATTACTATTTTGACTTTTATTTTACGTGTTATTCGTATCGTGTCGTGTCAACTTGCAAAAAATTCGTGTCGTGTCACTGTTGAAGATTTTGACACGAATAAAAATTTGTGTCGTGTTAGTGTTGATGTATTCGTGTCGAATTCGTGTCGTATCAATCTGTTTTGACACCCCTAAGTGTACACAGGGGTGATCAAGTTCATGCGGTTCTTTATCTGATACTAGAAAGAAAAAAAAAAACAGAAAAGCCTCTGCTTTTTTTACGATAAGGTTCAGGTGCTTTGTAATGTGATCATGATTAATGAGTCAACTGATTAAATTATTTTTATTTTCCAATTAGCTATATTCTATCATCCATGTATGATATTTCTCCTTCTTCCTAATAGTAAAACAGCAAAGTTCAATTAACTTGAGCAAGAGTGAAATGTTGCTTGTTCATTAACTTTTGGCAGCAGACACACTTTATACCAATTTTATACAGAGATTAATACAGACACATTAATAAATTCTTGATTCTTTAACTAAATTGTAATCAGTAAAAAATTGGTTTTGCAGCTAAAACTAGATATTGATTTTATCATTGATTGATGATATTCTAAGTCTAGGCACCCACTTGAGGGGATTAGGAGGTTATGGAGGATTTGACGAGATGTACTGATATATGGTTAAAGTTTTAATATAATAGTTTTTTTTTATACATTAATATAATTTATTTTCGAATGTATTTTTTTAGAACAGGAGTAATGTTATCTAATTTGTATGATACAAAAAGAATATCATTTTACCTGTAAATTAAGAATATATTTGTAATTTTCGCACAATAACATGTTGCGACGTCTGCTGTCACGATTTAATTATTATCTTAAAAAATAATCTTAAATTTTTTTATTTGAATTCCATCAAATTCTTAATTCAGGAACATATTTTTTTTAAAAAAAGTTATTACCTCAAATATTTATTATTATTAAAAAATAAAAAACTTTAATTTTTAATAATATATTAAATTTTTTTGATTCATAGAGAAAATTTTCATTAAAAAAAGCAATCAACTATCAAATGTTAAAATTTTATTTTATGGTTTTAATATTCACAAATTTTAATAAGTCATATTTTTAAAGGGAATAACATCTGTCATTTTAAAGGATATAAACTTATATTATTTTAGATCTTAACCGTTGATTTCCGTCCATCAACGGTTATAATTTATTGGATCAAAATTATTAATTAATTAATAATAAATTTGACTCATTAAGTTTGACCCAATAAATTATAACTGTTGATAGATGAAAATTAATGGTTAGATCTAAAATGATATAAAATTATATCTTTTAAAAGAATAGATGTTTTTTCTATTTTTAAATATCGATAAAGGAAAAAAATAGATAATTATTATAAAATCAATTGAGAATTAAGAGAAAGAAATAAAAGCGTAGAGAAAAAATAAAGAAAGATTCAAGTACAAGTTTTTGGGAAAATATGAGAACATTACTAAGATCTGGAATACAAATTTTCATAAAAGCTATGTCCTAGCCTCATAGTTCTCTAAAGTCTAAACATAAATATGAGAATAATTACTCTTTAATATACCATTAATGTGGTGATTATATGATACATTAAACATTACAAGAAAACTAACCCTCATACAAATCATCAAGCATATGAAAAGACATCCACATATATTTTAACATAAATAAATTTTATATAATAAAGCTATTAAAATTTCAAAATATTAATTTTTTGACACATTAATTGAATTTATTTTCCAATATATCTTTCCAAAACAGGATAATATTATGTAATTTGTATGATGCAAAAGTAATGATCTTTTAATATTAACAGAGTAACATTGTGCTGTGCGCAGTCACTGTGTAATTATTATCTTTAAAAATATATCCTAATTTGTTTCATTTAAATTCCATCTTAAAACGGAAACTAAACCCTCCAAGGAAAATAAAAAGAAATTTCTAGGTTTCAATTCCAATTCCAATTCCAATTTTCTTTTTCTTTCTCAGATCTGATTTCTAATTTCCCCACTCAAATTGCATTTCCACGACAAACCAATCCAATCAAATCAAACTCCCAGAAAATCTCGTGAGTCTCAATTTTACAAAGATGTTTCGTTTCGAGCAGGGAAAGAACCCTAATAAAACGATTTGATTTTCCCTCTTTCGTTTTATTTTTGTTTTTTTTGGATTTTCGATCGTGAAGCTGTTGCTATGGCCGACGCTCTCTCGGTGATTCCGGCTGCCGTGCTCCGTAACCTCGGCGACAAGCTCTACGAGAAGCGGAAGAATGCAGCTCTTGAGGTTTTTCTCTTCAATTTGGTGAATTTAGGTTTGTTGGGTTTTGAGAGCATTGTTGATTGTTATGGGTTTTTTGAATTTGGTTTTTGTAAATAGATTGAGGGTATAGTGAAGCAGCTTGCTGCTAATGGGGAACATGATAAGATAACTGCTGTGATCAATTTGTTGACTACGGAATTCACTTACTCGCCACAAGCAAATCACCGCAAGGTAGCACTGAGTCTGATTTTTTTTTTTTTTTTTTTTTTTTTTTTTTTTCCTTTTTATGGTTGACTCTAGTTTGAGTTCAATAATTTGAGAATGTTATTTATTTATTTTTAATTCAATGAAGGGAGGGTTGATAAGCTTAGCTGGTGCTACTGTTGGGCTGTCTACTGAAGCTGCTCAGCATCTTGAGGTGAGGGTTTCCCCCACAAGTTACTTGAATATATATCCAATTCTCTGTTTTTGTCCTTTTATTTGATTGTTTTCCCTTCTAATTTGTGTATCAAGGATTACAATTTGAACTCTTCCCACTTGAGAAGTTATGCAATATTTATTCTGGGTGCATTTTAGAAGCTTGGTAGTGGTCACTGGGTCTAGTGGTACCACCATTCCCCTTAAAAACAATGTGGTTGAGAATATATAAGCTGTGTGTGTGTGTGTGTGTGTGAGAGAGAGAGTATAAGCTTCTGATGACTATTTGTGTCTTCACATAATTGTTTGGAACAATTTGCTGTTGCATGAGGAAAGAATGATGGGTTTCTCATGTAACCTTTTGACTGGCTTTAATTTTCCCTTGGCAATTATGACTATTGAGTAATTTATTATAATGGTATGGGGATGAGGGGCTGAAGGGGTTTGATGAATTATTTCGCATTATTCTCCGTTCTGCGTGATCAAAATAGGATGCAACAAAACTATTATAGAGTGTCTTGGTTCATTTACCCCCTCCTACTTTATCTCATACAGGAGATTGGACAATTCACTTTTTCATGGTGCATATATTTCATTCTTTCGTGTATATAGGACTTTCTTTTTCATATTGAATAAGGTCATAGTGTTTTTTGATGCGTATGATTATGATAAAAGTTGTGTACTGCTTCTTAGTCACATTGACTTGATAAGTTATATCCGATCTATGGATAATTTCATTTAATCAGAACTGTGGATCAAAAGCTCCCTAGGGGATGCTCTTCAAAGTTGCTATGGCCATAAAAATAGTTCCTTACCAGTTTTAAAGTTGTACACATTTAGGTGTATAATATCTATTTTTGTAATTTTAGATACTTAATAATCTTCAGAAAACACTATTAGTCTATGTTAATGGGTAATTCATAAGCAGCTTTGATGACTTTTTACCACAGTTCCAACATTCTTCTTCAACAGCATTTTTGTACGAATCTATAGCTCAAGGGATTTTAAAAAAATACAGCATTCTTAAACTGCAATTTCAAGCATATTAGTGCATGGAATAATAGGTGTAATTTTTGTTCATGTCATCGACACCAATCATGCTAATTACTTTTGGATGCTAATAGAAGATGATTGAAAAGAGAGAGAAAGAGCAAAAGAGAGATAGAGAAAGTCCATGATAATCTGAATACGAAGAGTGAATTGATTAATTACAGAGGTTATACACTGTGCTCTATATAAAGAGCAGTAAAACTGACTTAGTGCTGAGTCAGCACTAACAAACTCTGAAACTAACTGAAAGAATAATTCTGTACTTACAGGAGTATGCTACAGCAGTACAGCTCACTCCATATACTCTAATAGATGCTAGTTCTGTTCTTCCTGGTTCAGTTGATTTTAACTTGGTTCAGAATTTTTCGATTATGAACTTTAAAAACAAAAAAAAAGGTGATTTCACCTTAAGGGATAAAATTGAAATATGTGAAAATTCATCAAGCTAAAGTATCTTACAGTTAACAGCAACTTGTGTGTCTCTCTGTGTTCATTTTCCTTCTTCTTACCTACATATTTTGTATTTAACAGCAAATTGTGCCTCCTGTGTTAAATTCGTTCTCTGATCAAGATAGTAGAGTTCGTTATTATGCTTGCGAAGCACTATATAACATAGCTAAGGTAAGGATTTATTTATGCTGCCTATGTAAAGCTTCAATATGATAATATACAATCCTCCAATGTGAATCTTGTTTTGATGCTAGGTTGTGAGAGGAGATTTTATTATATTCTTCAACCAGATCTTTGATGCCTTATGCAAGCTTTCTGCAGACTCAGATGCCAATGTACAGAGTGCTGCTCATCTCTTAGATCGTCTCGTAAAGGTATTATAAGTTTCTCCTGAACTCCAGAAAGCCTTTGAGCAGATCTACATGTGCATTTCTGAATAGGGATCTATCTAATTATGATTTGAATTGCTGTTTCATTTAGATGAACTGATGATCAAACATTGCTCTATTGAAACAGGATATTGTGACTGAAAGTGATCAGTTCAGGTGCACATTCTTCTAACTGTTATGCTATATGTTTCGCTGTATGATTGTGATGAGTGAAGTCAGTTCTTCTCGGGATAGGGTAGTTGGAAGGGAGAGAAAACAAGATAGAGATATTCTGTTATCTCTCAGCAAGGGACTATATATTAAATAAGAGAGATATTCTGTTATCTTAGTAGGGAAGTAGTTTTCAAATAAGATAAAGATATTCTGTTATCTCTTCATAGAAAAGTATTTACTTCACTGTAGGATGTTCTGTTTTTAAATAGGACAGTAGATATCGTAGGAAGGTATCGGATATTTGTCTTGGTTGCCGCTTAAGGCTGGGCTAGGAGAGAACCTCCATAGCTGTCTTGTTTCTTCTTCTTGTAATTCCATTTTAATCAATAAGAATCTCTCTTTCCTAGATAGGGTAGACCAAATCCTATCATATTGTATCTTGTGTTTTAAATTTCAAAAGACTTGTAGATACAGAGATCTCTTACTATAAATTATACTGCTTCATATCCTTCTGTTTTTCTTTCTTGATCTTCAGTATTGAAGAATTTATACCGTTGTTGAGGGAGCGCATGAATGTATTGAATCCTTATGTCCGCCAATTTTTGGTAGGATGGATTACTGTATTGGACAGTGTCCCAGATATTGATATGCTGGGTTTTCTTCCTGATTTTCTTGATGGTAAGTGTATGAATTGAAGAAAGAGCCTTTTTGTTCTCTCAACATTTTTATGCAAAATCAATGTAAACCAGCTAATCATTTATAAACACCACAGGTTTGTTTAATATGTTGAGTGATTCAAGTCATGAAATACGTCAACAAGCTGATTCAGCTCTTTCTGAGTTTCTTCAAGAGATTAAAAACTCCCCAGTAAGTTTTCTGCTTACGTACCATTTCATTTTTGTTTGAGTAGCAAGGCTTCTGGAACAATTTAGATCCCACTTCTGCTTTTATGTGTTTGTTTTTCCCTGTTAGCTGCGTGGGGAAGATTTATTGTATCCATTATCCACTTTTGTATGTTTCCCATCTTTTAGGGTTCATCTATTTGCTGACTGCTTTGTTTCTGCATTTTGTAATGATTAACTATGCTGCGCATCATTTTCACCTACTATTTTGAAACAAAAGCAACATGTTTTGTTCATTTGTCATTTTCTGACTCAAGCAGTGCTACTCTTGAAGTCTGTAGATTATGGTCGAATGGCTGAAATACTGGTACAGAGGGCTGGTTCTCCAGATGAATTTACCAGGTTAACAGCTATTACATGGGTAAGTGGTATTTCAATGTTTTGACTAATTAAACAAGTCTTTACTTTAATTCAACTTTTGGCTGTTGTTGGCATCTTGTCTAAATAATTAGTTATTATTTTGTTGTTGGGCATAATTATTTTTCTTAAATAATGTCTGCTTTCTTGTTTTAACAGATAAATGAGTTTGTCAAACTTGGTGGAGATCAACTTGTTCCATATTATGCTGACATTCTTGGAGCCATTTTGCCTTGCATTGCCGATAAAGAAGAGAAAATTAGAGTGGTAGGCTTAATTGAGCTTTCCATGTTTTGTCTCATGTTAAAATTTTGTGTTGCCTGCCATTGAAAATAAGAATTAGAAATAATTTCTTGCTTATCTACAAGGTTGCTCGTGAAACCAATGAAGAGCTACGTGCTATCAAGGCTGATCCAGCTGAAGCGTTTGATGTAGGAGCAATCCTCTCCATTGCTAGGAGGTGTAGTTTTTCTAACCTGGGAAAAGGCTAGGTTTGAATTTCAAAATACTTGTAACTAAAATATTATTGATTTGTATACTACTATTAACACCTGAGAAGCTGTTGGGAAATGATTATGAGGGTCCTTTTTGCTAGTCAACTCTAGGTTGCACTGGTTATTCTGTAGAATGATTTTGGGAATGGTTTGACTGGTTAGGCAACTATCTAGTGAATGGGAGGCTACTCGAATTGAAGCTTTGCACTGGATATCAACCCTTTTAAACAGACATCGTACTGAGGTGACAAAATTGTTTGAATTTAGCTTTCTTGTTTATATGTTTTGAGGCTGCTATGCATATGCAGACTTAATCTAGTTTCTTGATATTGCCCTTGGATTCTATGTCATACAGCTCAATTGCATGTCCATTTGTATATTTCTGAAAGTTTGTGAACATTTTGTTGTTTATGCCCTATATCATGATCGGTTTTTGATTATAGGTTCACTGATAGCTCTATTTCTATTGATTACTGTAAAGAACCTTGGGATACACCACCCCAAAAGCTAGCTCAAGAGGTGAGAGTGCCCAGGGCCTTATAAACTCCACATTAGTTGCACATACAACCAATGTGGGACTATATATCTCAACACGCCCCCCTCACACAAAAGCCCATTGGGCTTGAAGAGTGGATGATGCAACAGGCCCAGCCTAGCTGTGCTAAGAAATTCCACAAGAGAAAGTGGAGGACGGCGAGGCTCTGATACCATGTAAAGAACCTTGGGATACACCACCCCAAAAGCTAGCTCAAGGGGTGGGAGTGCTCAAGGCCTTATAAACTTCACATCAGTTGCACATACAACCAATGTGGGACTATATATCTCAACAATTACTGATGGACGCTTCTCGAATGTAATTAGTAAATAATGCTATTTCCCCCTTTTATATTTTTACCTTTTGCCTAAGTATAAATGAAACTATGCTTTCCTTTGAGTTATTCCAGAAACTAGGAATCTAATTTAATTAATATTTGACATGTTTTAACTAATTATCATACCAACTTTTGCAGTCTTGCCCACTTAACCTGCAATTCTGCAAATAATTATGATGTTGTCATGGCAATCAAATAATATACGATTCGTGTACCATTTTATTGTTCAGCATTCTCTTCCTTTTTTGTGCAAAACTTTATTTTCTTATGTCAATTCCATCTCTGAGTAATTACACTTTCAATTTGCATGAAATGTTTTGTAAAGGTGTTATCTCCTTATGTCCATATGGATAGTGATTTTGGTGTCGGTGCTTGCATAATGATTTTTCTTGTTTGAAACAGGTTTTGACATATCTGAATGACATATTTGACACTCTTCTCAAAGCACTTTCAGATCCATCCGATCAGGTTGAGTTATGCTGATAGTATTTCTTTTTTCAATTTTTTTTTCATCAGAATCAAATCATTATTTCTCAAGATCTTTATGCATATATTCTGTTGAAGTTGTGGTTTTAACTGAAGTTGTGGTTTTAACTGTACATTTATATACAAGTTATTTTATCAAAAATCTTACATAGTTGTGTGTGTGTGTGTGTGTGTGTTCTCTTCTATTTTCCTGTTTTCCCAAGACCTCTTATCCTTTATGCATTTCTCATGTCTCATGTCTAACAAATTGAACTCACCCAAAAATTTCAATTTCTGATCTATAACCCCTGTGGGACTGGTTATATAATAAGGGATAGGTTATCTTACTTCCTTATGGGACTGGATGAACATGATGTTGGTAATGCCTCAATTACATAGATAGGGAAATTAAGAGCTGGCAGTTGCCATTCCCCATTCCATCCTCTTACGGCTCTCAAATTCTAGTACTGGACCTTTTTTGTGTCATCAATTTCTCTGAGAAATGCATTTTTGTTGACAGAACATGGAGGATGATAAAATTAGGGAAGATGAGAAGGATGAAGGCACATCATTGTTGCTTTAATTCCCTCTTTGCCATTAATGAAGCTTTTTAATTATAACTTTGCCATTGAATCATTGATCATGAGCAGTAAATAAAAACAAAATAATGTCCTAAGAAACACTTTCAAACAAGTTTTTTTTTTTTTTTTTTTAAATAAAATAAATTGTTTCTAAATACAATTTCTGAACTTGGATTATAGGTTTGGTTTAGTTAGAAGGCCATATAGATTATTGTATATGCCTTTTTGACCATTCAACATCAATATCTTCATCGCAAACTAATTGTGAGCCTTCTTGACCATTAATTTAAAAAATTAAACTGTACCATTCTATTGAACCGGTTGTGACTGTGAACCGGCATTGGACCTTCCAATTGAACTGGCAGTCTCTATCCAGTTCAACCATGGTCCAATCATGGTTCCACCACAAATTTAATCAATGAAGTCAATCGAATAATGATGATGGGTCATCTAAGCCCAAACCCAAAGACCTACAACTATACTCTCGTAGACCCAAGGCAAAGAAAACAGATAAAGGAGGGAAAAGACTGTTATAGAAAGAGAGAATAGATTTGAAAGGAGAGTAGTTAGGGGAGAGAAAAAGGGAATCTGTAGTATAAAGAGGGACGGGGTCAGATAGGGTTATTCTTAATTCTCAGGCTTGTGCCTTGGGCTAGGAGTCTCCTCTGTAGCTGGGTATTTACGCTCTTACCATTTCTGTAATTCTTCTGTTTTACTATCAATGCAATTCCTCCCCCTTTTTGTTAGATAGGGGTCAGATCCTATTACATGACCAGGAGATCTCACTGGCTCAACCTCTGGTTTGGTTTTTAAAACATTGCTACTGATTGCTGACTGAATAAATAAGTGATATTTTCGAAGTTTCCCTTGAATGCTATATCATATAATTGTGGAAATCAATAATGCACTTGAATTGTCATTAATTCACCACTATTCTGTAATACTGAATAGGTTGTGCTTCTAGTTCTCGATGTTCATGCATGCATTGCAAGAGATCCTCAGCACTTCAGGCAGCTTGTTGTTTTCTTAGTGCATAATTTCCGGCTGGATAATTCTCTTTTGGAGAAGTAAGCTATTTTCCTTTATCCTGTGTATTCTTCTCATTATATATTTGCTAAAATATGTTAACAATATTTGCTACTAATTTCCTCTTTTTCATTCATTAAGATTTTAATTTTATATCACAAATTCCAGGCGCGGTGCTTTGATAATCCGTCGCCTTTGTGTGCTTTTGAATGCTGAGAGAGTGTACCGCGAACTTTCTACAATATTAGAAGGAGAATCCGATTTGGATTTTGCATCCATTATGGTTCAGGTTTGTGTGACTTTAATCAGAGCTACATAAAAGGGTGCAATGGAATTTCATGTTGCTGTTTTATATTGCTTTAAGGGGATGGAAGAGATAGAACTATTTGCATCAGTGGGTGGGATTTGATTTGCATTTTTATTAGACGACTGGCTACTTGTTTTGGTTATGTACAGTCTTAGAAACCTTACTGTTGGATAATGTGGATATACCCAACATCCATGTTTTTAAAAATATTATGGTCAAGGCTTCTGTTATTTGGTGGGAAATTGTTTTCATTGTTTACCTAATAATGCTGGATGGTTCTCTATTCTGGGCTACAATCAATTGTATGGAAACTGGAAAGGAGTTAATGACTGATGTATAAGTATAACCAGCCTAGTTGGTTTTGGGACAGACAGTTCTGGGACAGTATTATCAAAATTATATTTTTTTGTTGCCTTTTCTTCATTGCTACATATCAACATCAACATCAACAACACCTTTATCCCAAATTAATTGGGGTCGGTGGTAGATGAACCCAACATGAACCCAAATTCATTGCTACACACACATATATATATATATATATTTTTTTTCCTTTTTATGAGTTTGATGTTTAGGCAATCCTATGTAGTGAAACAATATTCATCCGCATTTATTTTCTTTCCATTTCTAAACAATTTTCAGGCTTTGAATTTGATCTTACTTACATCATCGGAATTATCTGAGATTCGAGATCTTTTGAAGCAATCACTGGTAAATCCTGCTGGGAAGGACTTGTATGTTTCTTTGTATGCCTCTTGGTGTCATTCTCCAATGGCAATTATAAGTCTTTGCTTTTTAGCTCAGGTAGGTATCTATAACTTTGTTATGGTACTTGGTTTCCATTTTGATTTTTCTAGCACGTGTGCATGTGGACAGAGAGAGAGAGTCTGTTTGTATATGCCTTAGCTTTATTTGGATAATGTGCCACCTGTTTCTGTAATATAAATTTTGTATCTTCCTCAACAGACTTACCAACATGCAAGTGCCGTTATTCAATCTCTGGTAGAGGAGGATATCAATGTCAAATTTTTGGTCCAGCTGGATAAATTGATTCGCTTGCTGGAAACGCCAATCTTTGCTTATCTTAGATTGCAGGTGCTTAATTAAAACAGCATGTTTCATTAATATGTATCTTTTAAGTCTTGTAATAGCCTATATTTTGCAGGTGCTCTAACTATTTAATTTTGCAGCTTCTTGAACCTGGAAGATATTTATGGTTATTCAAAGCATTGTACGGTCTTCTGATGTTACTTCCCCAGGTATCCTCAACTTTAATAATTTTTTTATCTATTAAAAAGTTGTTGGGGAGCCTTCTGTAGTAGGATTTTTCCTTTTATTAAAAAGTTGTCGAGGCATTAATTTCCTTGTATGAATGGGGTGCGTTGAAACATCTTTCTTCCTTCGTGGTAGGAGATTTCTTAGACACTTGCATTGGTTACATTATTTGAAGTCTCTCTTTATAGCATAGCATTTAGAAGTGACATTTGCTTTGTATAATCCTTTTACTGGTGCATATTACTACATTCTTTATGTAGCTAATTTTGTTATTTCAATGCAGTTAATCAAACTGTATATTAGTTATTTCAAAAGAAGGAATGCGGTATATTATATATATTCCCTTCTCTTTGCATCCCTTTCATTTTGAGACACAATTATTATTTGGGTATAATACGTTATTCAGTCTGGATGTTACACTCCTGAATACATTTGGGTAAAAACATGGACTGATGTATACACAAGGACATTGTATGGTTGAGATTCAGGGAGTTATACACCTAGTTTTTAAGCTGTCGTTCAGAATCTGCTGGTAAAAGGTTTTGTCTGTGTGCTAGTGAATATAGTGGCTGGTGCAGGTTCATCTTTATGTGCTTTATTTTGTACTTGCATGTTTTTCTTGAACATTGTGTCAGTAATTGTATGCCTTTTTTTCGAGGTGTTTCTGTCTGGCCAGTAAAAAATTGTGGTTCTGATGACAGTAACTATTGTTGAATGTATCAACTTGATCTTCTTGCCAGTTACACCTTCTACACTTTAATGTGTAACCGAGGTTGAGGGAGGGGGCATGCTGGGGGCATAGTTGTGTAAATTGTCGTTTCTTAGAGAAGTCTTCTTTCAGCAATATAATAGTTCTTGGAAAGTTTGGTGATGCAAATGGTTTGCTGTTTATTGACAATTTTATACTACTATGCAGCAAAGTGCCGCCTTTAAGGTACTGAAAACTCGTTTAAAAGCTGTGCCATCGTATACTTTAAATGGTGAGCATTTAAAGAGGACGCCTTCAGGGGATCCCTACCAATTTCTTCATCTCATGCCTGGTGGATCTCAATCTCAAACTATTGAGGATGGTGACTTAACTGAAAATGGCGGGAGCTCACACAGTGGAATAAATTTTGCTGCAAGGCTACAACAGTTTCAGCAAATGCAGCACCAGCATCGGGTGCACACTAAAGCACAGACAAAGTCACGCAATATGTCTACTTCAGTACCAAAGGTTGCTGACGTCTGCATGTTGATTTTTTCTTTCCTTTTTATGTTTGACATAAATTATTAGGGAAGAATTCATAAAATTTAGAGAGAACATTGGGAATGGAGAGGAAGAGGGAGGTGATGCCTGATTTATTATTGCTTATTGCTTAAATGCCATATTTTCTGATGTCATAACTAACACTATATGCAGGAGACACAAAGAGGGGAAGAACCAAGGATACCTCAGTCTGTTGACCTTAATGTTCCTCCTTCAAGATCAACAAAGAGAGGTCCAGGGCAGCTACCATTATAATTCTAAATGTTGATTCTGCCCATTTTGAGCTTTAATCTAGTTCATTTGAACTTTGAATTGGGTCGGGTATGATTTGTAAAATTGTAAATCATAGTAGCTCGTTTTATTCTACTTGTTAGAGGTTGGGATGGTGAAAATCGGGTTTTGGAGTCAAGATAAAGCTTGGGCTTTCCTGGGCTATTCTTTTGACCTTATAAACCGTGATACCCACGTGGTTCAGTTGTTTTTAGTTGAAAACCATGTGGGCTAGAGGGGATATTTTCTTCAATAACGTTTCTTTTTTGTTTACCCGTTTATCAATTACTGCCATATGGTATATAATAAGGAATTAGCTACTTTCATGTACAAATTGCTAATTTGGCGTAGTGTTACTGCACGAGTTCTACATGTTTTTAGCATTTGGCTTGGTTTTATGAGATCAAGCCAGTGATTGTGTTTCATTTGGGCCAACAATTACAGCTTTCTTCTTTCTACTTTCTACTTGTCTGATTCAAAACTCTTGAGACGGTGAGATCAAACCATGGCTTACTGGTTAAGGAAGAACTTGTGTCTTACTAGTGCAGAACTGATAAATATGAAGATGGATGGAATGATTTATTTTCGTGTTGCAGATAAGGCGCGGAAATGGTTTGTACTTTTAATAATACTCATCTTAAAGGTTAATCTGTGGTAATTCTCATTCTCATAAATATCGTTTATACCTATAATTTGTGGCAACTCTATAGTTTTCACGTATATTTGCTTTTGCGTATTTCATGGCAATTTCCATTCCAATTAGATGTATACTAATAGCGTCTTCGTATTAATATTCTTTGTATTTCTACATTTTGGAATCACTAGCTTTATAACTAATCAAAAACTTGTAACCTGGTTGGTTTTTCAAAGAACAAAGAATTTGACTTAACACATGACTCTGAAAGTTTGCATTCATCAGATTGGAGGATAAAACAATAGCATTTTTAAAGTATTTCTTTTTGCGGGACAATACAAAAGCATTCATCAGATTGGAGGATAATACAATCATCCACTCTATGAGGTCTAAACGTGGAGCTAAAGGGTGAATGGCCATCAAAGTGGACTTGGAGAAGGCTTATGATAGAGTTAATTGGGACTTTTTGCGGGATACTCTTCAGGATGTAGGTCTCCCCAATCATACCAGTAATCTCATTATGAAATGTGTGTCATCTAACTCTATGAATGTCCTATGGAATGGAAAAACAACTCAGGAGTTCCAACCTTACAGGGGTCTCAAACAAGGTGACCCTCTTTCGCCATATCTCTTTGTTCTTTGCATAGAGAGACTGGCGCAGTTGATCTCTATTGTAGTGGAGCAGAAACATTGGAAACCGGTGGTGTTAAAAAAGGGAGCCCCCCATCTCTCACTTACTTTTTGCCGATGATCTGATCCTATTTGCTGAAGCCACTCAGGAGCAAGCCAATATCATTCATCAAGTCTTAAATACCTTCTGCACTAGCTCAGGGCAAAGGGTTAACTACGGAAAGACAAGAGTTTTCTTTTCCCGTAATGTCAACCATGTTGTAATGGAAGACCTAAGTCAACACATGTGATTCTCCTTCACTCATGACCTTGGCCGCTATCTAGGTATTCCCTTACATCACAAGCGTGTAGGTAGAGGTACCTTCAACTATATCTTGGATCGTCTTCATTCAAAAATCCAATCGTGGAACCATGCAAGCCTATCTCTAGCAGGTAGAGTCACTCTATCTAAAGCAATTTTGGCTGCTACACCATTATATCCTATGCAGGTTTGCACTATTCCTAAATGTAACACCCCGTTCTAGAACCGGTTTGTTAACATCGCATTATGATATTAAGCGCAGTTACAATCACATTGGCTCAATTAAAAATCCGGATAAATTTTTCTTTTTAAAACGACGCCGAATTTAAAATATCCAATTGCGTGATCATAACCATATTACCTTGCGGAATCAGATAAACCAAGCTTAACATCATGTTCTTATTCCATTTTTAAACCATTAATTTACTTCTTGTTTATTTCACAACTTCTACTATATTGTAGATCTCTTCGTTAGCTACGCGTGGGTTCAAACCGCGCTCAAATCGGAGCACTGTAGCCCAAGTTATGGGTTTTCTACGAAACGAGCGCGTGAATCCTGCTGATCCCGGCGCGACCGGTGCCAGATGTGGCGTGGCGGGCGCCAACGAAACAGAAGCTCCCCATCGAAATGGCGCTGGAGGCGCCAAGGTTGGCGCCAGGTGCGCCACATGGTGATCCCGGCGCGATTTGCGCCAACTCCGGCGCGATTTGCGCCACGAAACAGAAGCTTTCGAGCAAAATGGCGTGATGTGCACCAAGTTTGGCGCCAGGTGCGCCAAAGCTTTGAAGGTTTCACCAATTCTTAGTATTTTACCTCTAACTAGAGTTATACATGTCCAATTCACACAATATTGGTCTCTATGGAAAGCTAAGAAAAATATCTACAACTTCCATACATACACCACCGTCCCAACCTATCATATAATTTCCTCTTCATAAATGGTTCTTAGTTCTTGCATAATACAAACACATCTAAAGGGACATGCATGCCCTTTTCCTCATGGCTTGTACTAAAATTTGGGCAGCATAACCCTTGTTTTCTCAACAATTCCCAATTTAGAACTAGGTACCTAATATAATTTCCAGCTCAACAATCCAATATTCATCATGCATACATAACCTTGAAGTAAATAGCATTAATACAAGTTTGATTACATAACGGGGAACTTAGCTACAAAAGGCTATGATCATCCCTTGGCTCTCATCAACCAAAGAGATAACCAAAGGCATGAGCATAGGCTAAGTCCATTCCAATATACAATTCATAAATCTATCATTGCCTATTAATTACAATTCTATACATGTGAGCTACAAAACAACATGTATAATCTCAAAAATTGCAACACTTCATGCATATGCTAATCCAGATATGGCCACTTGCCACTGGTGGCCCCTGCAGCATCCTTACCTGAAAGGGGGTCCCCACAACACGGGGTGAGGTATACGAATATATCCAGTAAACCAGGGGTCCTTGGAGCATCTCTCCACCCCACAGTTCCGTATCAGTGTAATAGCAATAACAATAATAATGCAGTAAATACATATCTATGCAAAGTGCAATAACATCTCCAGGAGAAATCCCTCGAGCTCTCAAGCTGTCCTAAGGAAACTCAGATGCAAATAGTCCTACTGGCCAGCTAACTACCAAGTATGATTTACGCATCGTCATGCAACATACCACATAGGGAAACACCATCCTATGCCACACCAAATGCATACACATACGTATAACAAAGCATTACACTATTTTATTGCATTTATATACGCAATCACAACCTCTACCCTTTCAGGGCTTGGTAGAACAGTCAAGGGAATTACACCCAAGGTCCGAAGGCTTACCTCAATGCTTCAGTCGACCTTTGTTCTTCACCAACAGTTTCAGCAATCAACTTTTATAAATATACACCTATTTCAAGGACTAATCCATCTCCATTGCTTGCTCCAAAGGTTGGTCAATTAAGGTTGATCCAATTGCCTCAATCCTAGACAACACAAGGATACAATCAATGACCAACCAAACAATGGTTCAACAATGCAAGAAAACTCATAACCAAGTGTCATATTCTTGCAATTCTCCAAATATAATCATTTAGCTATCTAAGCTCATTTTCACCGATTAAACGTTGTTCCTAGCATTTTTCACAACATGCTCTAAGCTCCATTCTTCCTAGAACATAGCTAATTTAACAATATTTCATCAAAATCCCTAAAACACTATTCATAAACCCTAACTCATGCAAATTTCAAGGAATCATGAGGTCCAAGGGTTAGAATCTTACCACCAATGGTCACACAACCAAGCAAGGAGTGTTCCTCAAGCTCCCATGGAGGTTGAACTTCCCAAAACCCCAAAATCTCTCAAATGGCCGAATTTTTGAGAGCCAAAGTCTCTCTCCACAAAGCTCCCCACTCAAAACAAAGCTAGGATTATGAAAGAGGGGAAGATTTAGAGTGGTTTAGGCTTTGGAATGAGTTGATTTGGACACCAAATGAGAAAGCTAGGTTTTTGGCTCACCTATGTCTTCCTCACTCTCTCTGTCGCTGAACCACGGGAAGAAGAAGGAAAATGAAATGGTTTTTTTGTGTTTTGGTCACTTAACTCAACTTAAGTGGTCTTAAGCGGGTATTAGTTCGTCTATCTATTCAACTCCAATAATTACCAAACTTTACCCAAAAGTCTGGAATATTATTCTAGGAATATTACTATTTTTATTTTTATATTTGGGCACTTTCACCAGTACCCATTTATACCCCTTAATTTTCACTGAGTACACTTTTTAACTCCAAAGTGACTCAGATTCATTTAATTAAGCCTTATACTTAATTTCACTCAGTAAAACATGCTTAATTAATTAATTACACTTGATTTACTAATTAGTTAAGATGGGCTATTATACTAAATGTACAACTGATGACATTGAGAAACAAATTAGAAGCTTTGTATGGGGATCTTCGAGCGCAAGTCGGCGACCTTCTCTAGTTGCTTGGAATCAGGTATGTTTGCTTAAGGAACAAGGAGGCCTAGGTATGAGAAAAATGAAGAACATGAACATAGCATTCCTTATGAAAGTGGGCCATAATATCCTATCCAACCCTAATGCTTTGTGGGTAAGGGTTCTGAAGAGCAAATATAACGTGGAAGAGGGTTTACTTCCTCACATTCATATGCCTAGGAGCTGCTCCAATCTCTGGAAAGGAATTGTTAAGTGTTGGGATCTGGTATTGGCCCATAGTCGTGTACTAGTGGGTCATGGTAGACAGACTCGGTTCTGGTTTGATTCATGGCTCCCGAATCATGGTTCGCTTAGCATCTATGTCCCAAACACAATTATTCCAGATTTGGTGAATTGTTTAATAGCAGACTACATCATGAATACTGGGGGTTGGAATTGGGACTTTCTTCATCAATTCATTCCTGGCCATGTTTTGGCTCAAATTGCTAATGTCATTCCTCCTTTGATAATGGGTCTTCAAGATCGAGTTATATGGGCTGAATCCTCTGATGGTTTATTCTCGATTAAGTCGGCCTATAGAGTTATTACCAGTAATGTTGCTGCAGGGAATTCAAACCAATGGAATCATATCTGGAAGTGGGATGGACCAAAGTGTGTTCGCACTTTTCTATGGCTTCTTAGGAGTGAAAAACTAATGACGAATTCTAGGCGCTATCAACGTCATCTAACTACTTCAGAGGTATGTCCCAGGTGTAACTTTGCAAATGAGACAAACATACATGCAGTTAGAGACTGCCATTATGCTCTAGAAGTCTGGCGTATCTTAGTGAGACCCGATAGATGGGATGAGTTTGTTTGTATGCCTATTGATGTCTGGCTTCAGACAAATTTATCAGATTATTGTTCTTGGAATGAGGAAATAAGCTGGTCTTTATTGTTTGGTATCACAACTTGGTTTCTGTGGAGAACAAGAAATGAACAGGTGTTCCAAGGAGCGACTCGCACTAGTTATAGTATTCATAGGGCTGTGCTTGGGTATTGTGGAAGCGTCAACCATGCAAATAAAATGTTAAGCATGTCGGGCTTACAAGTGTCAACTCGTTCGGAGATGTTCATTATGTGGACAAGGCCTCCTGATAATTGGATGAAACTAAACGTTTATGAGGCAAGCTCCTCAAGTACTATGCAATCTGGCTATGGAGGGGTTATAAGGGATTCAACAGGAAATTGGATTATGGGTTTCTGCAAGAATCTAGGGTGTGGAAACGTTCTTAATGCTGAACTATGGGCTTGTTTAGTTGGCCTAAATCTCAGTTGGAACAAAGGATTCAAATTTATTTGGTTGGAAGGGGACTCATTGGTGGCTCAACATCTCATTAGAAATGGTTGTAGTGAAACACATCCATCTTTTGCTTTGGTAAGAAGCATCCGAGAATTGGTGACCAAAAACTGGAGGGTGCACATCTCTCATATTCATCGTGAAGGAAATAGTGTGGCTGATTAGCTTGCTTCCTATTCTTATGAGTTTAATTGGCAGACTCAAGTATTTGTTGATCCTCCATAAGGGTGCGTTGGCAGACTATTCTGTGACTCTATAGGAGTAGGATGGCCCAGAGTTTGTAGCTAGTTTTTTGTTTATTGTTTTTATCTTCATGTTATTTTCCAAAAAAAAAGTATTTCTTTTTGAAAGATCCTAATTTAAAAAAAAATAAAAAAGCTTTCTTTGTATGAAATTTTTTTTATCTATTATGTTTGATTGTTATTAGTTTTCATCATGCCTCTACCGCTATAGCTTCGTGTAAGTAAGAATTCGTGACGTTAGCACAACTTCTTTTCCATCCCAACTTCATAGCAGAGAAAAGCCTCCCACAACTTTTAATATATCAGTAGTCAAGAAATTAAAGTCCAACCAAATTATGGAGCAGAACCATTTTCAAAATTCCAGAGCAAGATATAAGCTTAGCAGGACTTATTTTTTTCCATATACATCCGAGCCCTGTTTATGAATTACATGTATTAGAAAATCCAACCAATTTTCTTGGTACAACCTAATAGTTAACTCCAAATTAAGCAGCTGAATCCTAGTATGCAAACATTTTACTCTCCTCTGATGTGGCAGAATATCTGTTCAAGGGTAACATACTAGGCTTATAGAGCATATATCTTCTCAAGATCAGAATTATATTCATCCAAATCTGATATATTTGCTGAGTAAGACCATGAGAATGATTTACTTCCACTTGCTTTCTTGACTACTCTCTGAGAATCACTGCGGAACATACCAAAATGTTGTCTGAAAAACAAGTAGCACAAGTATGCTAGAGTCCCAATAAGAATTGGTGCTCCCAAAAGGGTAACACTAATAGCCAACCATGTTTCATCTCCAACAACCACAAAAGCTATTGCAAGAAAAGCCCCACAAGTGCAAGAACAAGCAGCCCACATAAGCTTGTTAATCACTGACACAACCTGCTTTTGAGCCCTTGTTTCCCAAGCTACCAAAGTGATTTGAACTACAACAACTGCAAGAGAAATGAAAAGAGATGTAGCATTCAAAAGGCAGAAAACACTGAAGGCAACACTATCAGCTATATTCGCTTTCCCTGCTTGTGGTTGTTGCTTTCTATATTGACCAGGCAAACTGAATAGAGCCATGAATGCTATTGAGGCAAAAAGGACAGCAACAACTGTGACAGAGTTAATGGTGTTTTGAACTGCCTCTCTATGAATTTTCTTCAATTCCTTAGCAATACCAGAAACTCGTTTGTTAGTTTTTTCATTCTGTTTAAGTTGTGATTGCATCTCATGCTTTATATCACTCACAGCTCTTTTAAGTTCCATGGCTTCATCCACTTTGCCAACATGCCTAGCATGCTTGGCACCATATTCTCTAAGGGTTTCGTTGATTTCCAAAGATGAATCTCCATATGCCAATTTATCTGCCAAATCCAAAGCTGTTTCCTTCTGATTATTGATGGCATTGACATTAATAGCAGTATAGGTTAACAAAAGGCTCACTATCTGAAATAAGTAGAACTATGTGTCATTAAGAGGCAGGAAGAATTCATTGCAAGAAAGACAGACAACAATTTTGAAAAGAAAAAGGTATATGCATTTTGTTCATCATAGCAGGGTATCAATCATGTGTATATGTAAACCTCATCTCATGTAACATTAGGACAGTTTGAGGAGATAAATAATCACATTCACTTGTATTGTTCCTTGTAAAAAACATTAGCAGCATGGTGGTGCTTTATTGTTACTACTTACTAGCATACAATAGTTGATATTGTTTATGCTCAAGAAACTAAGAACGTGACATTATTATAAGTCTGAAAGATTGGATGAACAAGTTTATAACAAAACTGAAGCAAACATGTTAAAAAGAGAAATCAACTATATATGGTTCAATTGACCTGGGAACGGCCTTTCCTTGTAGCCATGTGAAGAGCTGTGTTACCCTTCTTATCTCGTTCATTCAATATAGTAGGGTCAGCTTGTAATATCTCCTCCACCACTGAAGTACTGGTTCCTTTCACAGCCATATGCAATGCAGTTTGACCTTTTTTATCTTTGATGCACACTATTCTTTGATCCCTAGGAATAAGTGCTTTTACAATGCGAAGGATGCCATACCTAGCAGCATTGTGCAATGCAGTTTTGCCGTTTTTCCTTACTATCATCACTGAACTGACATCAACTTCCAAGATTGCATTCACAACATCCAAATGGTCTTGAACAGCTGCTGAATATAGTGGGCTAGTGTTCGAGGAATCACATAACTTACAAACCTCAGGCCAAGTATTCAAAAACTCCCTCACAATATCTGCAGAAAGATTGACAAATCTGACATATCAGAAATGAAATCCTTATTATCATCAACCTTGCAGTAGAGTAAGAATACATAATTGCAATAAGATGATTCTCCCTTTGCCTTGATTTCTACTTTTGTAGGACCTATAAATACTATAACAGAAATCAAACTGCAGCTACTACCCATAAAATTTAAAAAGATGACAGACTTAAGCTATTTAAAATCATGTCAAAAAGAAAAAAAATAAAAATAAATATTAAAGAAGACACATCCATGGTACTTTATGGTTCTAGTGGAATAATTTATTCTTGGTGTATTTCTAATTGATAGTTGGTTGGAGTTAGGAAAAAAAGAAGAAGAAAGAATAGCAATATTGTTGGAAATCAACAATCACACAAATCAAAAAACAAAAGAGAAAGAGAAGATAGATTTTCCACAATGATTTACCCTGGTTCATTCAATATAGACTACGTCCAACTTGTCTGTACTATGTTCAACTCACAGTCATTAGTTACAATTCACTCGGTTTACAAGGGAATATAAATAAGATTTAGAAAACCCTAACATGAGCTCATGAGCCCAAGTCCAAACTACTATCAGACCTCGACGCGTCCTCATCAGTATGCGAAATATGAGCCATACTTAACAAATATGTGTTTTGAAGTGAACTAGATTTAATCCATTAATAGCAATATCCATAATCAACCCCAAGAAATTCCATAGAAAAAAGATACCAATAAATGACAGATACACAATTGATGAGAATAAAAATAAAAATAAAAATGAAAGTGAAGAACAAGAAAGAAATCAATGAAAAGAAAAGTACTCAGATGTCCACGCTTGGCTGCTGCATGAAACGCGTTCATATCAGATTTGGACCTGATCTTCACGACTTCCAAGTCACATAAGCTGATCAAGAAGCTGAACACATCATGAAAACCATGCTCTGCAGCTATGTACAACATGGTTTCTCCAGCATCGTTTTTCAGTGACATGAGTTCTGAAAGCGATGATGACCCATCAAAGGATTCACCCTTGTTCTGTTGTTGCAGTAGCTTCTTGAGCCTATCAAGTTCCCCAGACCGAACTGCGTTGAAAATGGCTTGGTGGGTTATGAAGCATAGAGCCTTTGAGTCCATGTCCTTGTCCTGCAACACACACAGGACTTTTCAGCTCGGGTTTACTTGCACTTGAAGTCTCTGTCAGTTCTTTGTGTTTCTCTTCCAACCCAAAAGAGAAAGAGAAGCACATGTGAATGAAGAAGGAGAGTGTATCTAAGTGAAAAGAAGGAACATGGAGTAGATGACAAAGTGGTGGTTTTTCAATAGCAAAAGCGTTTTGTTATTTGGATGAGTGTTGGTATTTATTCGTATGGTTTGTGATGGTGGGGTCATGTTGCACAGAAAATGCATGTGAAGGTGAGGGTGATGATCATATTTTAGTATTGGCTTTTTAAGCTAGATTCCTTCTCCATTACCAATTTACCACAATCTACGGTTACATTTCCTTGTCCTTGTCGATTATCTCTTGGTAAAAGTTAATCACTAATCACGTGGATTAATGGGTAAGTGGTTATTTTAGCTTAATTAATAATTTCAAATTTGAGTTCTTGGAACGTAAATATGTTAAAATTTAGTAAGAAGAGCTTTGTCATATGTGTAATCCGAATAAATTTTTGGTACTACTGTTGTACCTAGATTCAGTGCATCTCATCAATGAGAGCATTACACATCATAAGAAAGAGAAAAAATTTGACAAAAAAAAAAAAATTTAGCTGACATGTAATATTTTCATTGGTGGGATGCACTGAATCTTTGGTACAACAGTAATACTAAAGATTTATTCATGTAATCCTACCTCATTCGAATCGGATTAAGTAATATCTAAAATTTAGACTCGTACGCATTAATATTCTCCTTTTTTCATTTTAAATTTTGACATGGGAGAGAGCTGGATAAAAAAGATTGGAGATCTAATCGAATATCTTTGATTAATCCCCTCTTCTTTATTTTTATTTTTTTTTAAAGAATAGAGAATAAGTTTGAAAAGATAAAAAATAAAGATGAATTCCGCTTCAATGAAACTAAGAATTTTGTCCATGCTTCAATGGAATTTCATTAATAATTTCAATTATTGAATTATTAATTAAACTCCATTTGACTTCGTAGCTTTGCTCGTTGTGTCCATGTTTTTAGAATTTAATTAAACTATACTTGAACTAGTTCAGAATAGTTAAACTCCAAGTGCGTGTTTAAAGCTGATACAAATATAATTGGTTTGAACACTTCACAAATTTTTTGGTTTGTTTTTTCCAAAAGAAAAAAAAGGATATTCGTCCAATAGAATCATTTCTGTTACATGGTAGTAACATGTTGGTTTTACTGAAATCTCCTTATCAATAAATAAATTTAACACGCGTTAATTACATTATATTAAATTTAATTATCATCTCTTAGTAATTTTACTTTTAAACATAAATCTAATTTATAGCTTTTAAATAAAATTCTTTTGAAACTTCTTTTCAATTTTTATTTCTTAAGGCAAATCAGTTTTTTAAAGAATAAAATCTAAATTAAACGGCTACTAACTCATTTAAACTAGTCCATTTTTATTTATTTTGAAAAAGTAAAACTCAATATTTTGTACATTTTATGAGTATTTTCATAGATTTTACAAAGTAGTGTGAATTACTTTTATAAATTATTAAATTTAATCGGTCAAACATTTAGAGGAAGTTTCACATCATAGAAAGGCTCAATTGACATATAATTTAATTTTCTATTACATCCAAAAAAAATGTTATAATAATAATAATAAAAATAATTATAAAAAAATTAATGGTGGGTAGGAATTAAGTTGATAATATAATCAAATAATTGATTATTTTATTTTAATTATGCAAATATATGATATGATATTATTGAAAAACGTCAAATGATGATAATAAAGTGACGAGTTCTAAAAATTATTACATATAAAAAAAAAGTCCAAATTGAAGAAATATACTCATTATAACTTCTACGCTTAATGGTTAAGTAAAGTCTCAAAAACCTATTCGACTGGCCACTCAACATATATATTGGTTGGATCCCACTCAACATATTATTTTAGTAGGTATAAATGGATTAAAATCCTCTCTTTTTTAAGCTAGAAGCTACTTATAAGTATAAGTTAGGCCAAACAGGTTTTGGGAAAATCTCTTATAACGAAAAGCTCTTTTATTTATAATGAAGAAAAAAACTGAAAACTAAAAGCTCTCAGGAGGAGCTTTTTTTAAAGCTCTTATCTGTTTTTCTTGAATTGTGTGTTTTTTTAAAAAATGAAGAGTGATAAAGATAGAGAGAGAAATAATTTTCTTGAAATATGTGCTTTTAAGTAATTTTTAAGCTAAAATTTTTATGTAATTTTCAAACAGCTTTTAATTTCTTTTTTTAAGTTTTTTTTTAGCTTTAACTTATAAGTAACTTCTAGTTTAAAAATAATAGGATCCAAACAGAAAAGCTACCTGAGGTTGTTGTGATCTCTGCATTATTGTTTTTATTGCAAAATAGTAGTGAAGATAGAGGTGTTTGACAACTTACAAAGATAACTAAACATGATAAAATATGAAACCAATAACCTAAGTCTCAGAAAAATAAACTTATTACTTTGGCTTAAATTAAGTGTAATAATGAATTTAGTTGGGTGAAACAAGAGAAAAAAAGCTGAGATAGGAAGACTTTAGTTTAACAAAAGAAATAATTGATCAGGTAGAGAGATAAGTAGCAATATTAAAGAAATAGGAATTAGCAAGGAAAATAAAATGCATGAATGCTAAAGGTTGATAACAGAGGGAGAGAAGTTAAAAGTGAGAGTTGGAACTTGGAAAGAAGAAGCTAATGTTTAAATTTTGTTAATGTGACTTAAAAAATAAGAGATGAGGAAGACAGCTCCAGAGCTCGCGCTTCAGCTCTTATAATAATAATAACCTATGGGGAACAAGTATCAATTACTAAACTTTTAATTTAAAAGTTAAAGCATATAATTAGGATCTAAATCATCTAATTAAATATAATTAGTTGGATGAAGAAAAATACAATTTGTTTTTTTTTTTTTTTAGATACCAACATGTGTCTAAAATTCTAATGGACCTAACTAATCTGGTTTTGGGTTTGAGTCTCTCCACCCTCCTCAAGAATTGTGACTCTCAAGAATCGAATTCACTATCCTTTGAGTGAGTCAAATCCTGGGGTCTAGCTGAGTCCCCACTAAACTAATAATTCTTGGGTATTTGTTTTTGAATTATTTAAGAAGTGGATTTTATTGTATACAAAAAAACACTATTGAAGAGTATGCTCTTCTTTGCTCTTCGAATATATAAGAATGTCGTCTATGAACACCACTACGAATCGATCCAAGTAAGGCTTGAAAATACTATTCATGTAATCCATGAATATCGTTGGAGAATTAATGAGACCAAAAGAAATAACAAGGTACTCATAATGTCTGTACATGGACCTAAAATATGTCTGAGGGATATCTTCCAGCTTAACTCGAATCAGATAACACCCGATCTCAAATCAATCTTTGAAAATACAGATACACCCCTAGACTGATCTATATTCGGAGTAACGAGTACTTGTTCTTCATGAATGCTTTATTGAGTTGTTTGTAATCTGTACACAACCTCATAATGTTGTCTTTCTTCTTTACGAATATCACAGGTTTTCTCCAAGAAGACACACTGGGCCTCATAAATCCCTTAGTTGATAACTCCTCAAGCTGCTTCTTTAACTCTGATAATTCTAAGGGAAACATTCAGTATGGAGTCATAGAAATAGGCCCCACACCAGGCAACAGATCTATAGAGAATTGGATCTCTCTCTGGTGGCAGTTGCAGAATTTCATCCGGGAATACTTCAATAAAATCCTTCATCACAGGATTCGAAATATCACACATTGATCAATCAAAGAGATATTCAACAACTAAAAGAAAGATCGATTCTTTGTTGGAATCCTACCTTTCTTCAAACGGAACGAACAGAGATAGAATCAGAGCGATTCTCTAAATGTCGTTCTGGATATTCCTCAATGTGCCGACTATTCATGGAATGGTGATATCTTCCTGAGTTCCTGTTACAAGTCCTCCTAGCATCACAAAACCAAGAAACCCTTCCCTTAGAGCCTTTCTCACCTGAAGTACTGACAAATAAGGTGAAGGACTCTGGAACAGTGACCATTGTGCCACTATTCCAAGACAAATTTACCTAAAAGCCACGCCAAAAAACAATTTTACCAAACTGCCACGAGGGCAAGTTCGCCCAGAGCAGTAGCAAACTTGGTATGCTGATGTGTCAGCTTCCTGGTGGTGTCAGAGTTCGCTTCTGACACAGGCGACCTCTGCTGCATGCAAGCCACGTGGCCTGGCAGGTGAGGCATTAATTTCAGCATACCAAGTTCGCTACTGCTCTGGGCGAACTTGCCCTCGTGGCAGTTTGGTAAAATTGTTTTTTGGCGTGATATTTAGATAAATTTGTCTTCTAAAAGTGGCACAAAGGTCACTGTTCCAAGAACTCTCTCCTTTATCACTGCAAGCCATTACTATTATCTGACTGCAGCAGTCAATCTGAACGCAATTCTTAGTGGGGTGTATAGTCATGTCCCGGATTAATGGACTCATGTATTAGCCAGTTGGGCCTCCACAAGTGAAAAGCCCAAGTCGAATAGGCGCATAGCATTAGGTCCGCTAGACGACATGTGGGCTTATTCCGGAACACATATCAAAAGTGGTTAACATATTGAGCTACGCTAAGATTGCAGATGTGTGAACCAAAAAGAGTGAGGCAACATTTTTAACTCAAATTGTGCTATTCTTCCTGACAAAGCCAGCGTTTACTTCATGAAAATAACGGATATTCTAGAAACGGGAATCGCCCTGTTTCATTTCTAACACAGACAACTAGTTTGACTTAATTATTTAATAACGGATATTATAGAAACGTTAAAAAAAAAAAAAAAACCTAAAAGGTATATCATATTTAAACTCCTAATTTTATTATTGCATCCGTTTTGACTAGTGATTTTTCGGTAGTATCACTATCAACTAAGGTATTCATCAACCAATTCAAACCGATTCAAATCGCGGTAATCGAATAAATCGAAAACTGAAAAATCAAAAACTGAAAAATCGAAAAAAAACTCACAAATTTTAATTGGATTGGATTGAATTTCGGATTGGTTGATGAAAACCGATCCAATCCAAACCGATCCAATATATTAATTCCCTTCTACCTACTTGGATATTTCTCCAATCATAACCATCAACAAAATTTCATCTATGAAGAGCTTCATATCTCATTGTAAAAAAAAAAAACTATATTATCATTTCCTAATGTTTTTGTATTTTTAAAAAAAAAATTACAAAACCAATATATATAAAAGATGTTATTTGTACAATAACCATGAAACAAATTTTAAGATTTTCAAAAAATCGAAAATCGATCCAATCCAAATCGAAAAAAATTGGATCGGATCTGAAAAAAATCTAAACCGAATAGATGACTACGTGATCAAACCGAAAAAATTGGATCGGATGAACTGATCCAATCCAAACCATGAACACCCTTAGTATCAACATCTTTTCCAAATAGTAACTTAAAGAGAAATAGAAAAAAAATATATGAATTAGGTACTCTACCCAAAAAAAATCCCGTTTTGACACCTACTTTCTACCGTTTCTTTTCGTTTTTTGGTGTAACTTACTTCTACATTTACTGTTTTGTAACCAAAATTTCAAGGGGAAAAAAAAAATCTGTACGCACCATTAAAAAGAAAGGATTCATGTACTTCCGAAAAAAAGGATGGATTCATTGTACCAAAAAGGATGCATTCAAATATAAACAAGTTAAATTTAAGAAATAATAATAATAAAAAAAGCCTCCAACAATTTGAGAATCAACAAATTAATAACAACCCGATTCACAAGCTAGAATCGCGCAAATTATCTCCAAACTTAGAAAAAATCACATTTTGAGAAAACCCACAACACAGCAGGGGAAAAAAAAAACTGCACAGAACCTGTAACAAACATTAAGGATTTTTCTCCCTAATAACCTTGGTGTTTTTTTCTCTCTTCCTTTATGCCATTCCCTAAACAAGGAGTTTCTTTGATTTTCTTTGGGTCCCCAGCTTCCAATTAAAATCATGGGTTTCGGATCTCTCTTCCGCAAGAAGAAACTCCTAAATAAAACAACAACATCATCATCACCAAACACCACCATCACTACAAACCCTATCATCTCACGAACACCGTCGCTAACATTGCAATCACGTGCCCAATTTAGGGAGGAATTAGAGCACGTGTTCAAAAAATTTGACGTGAATGGTGATGGGAAAATCTCTTCCTCGGAACTGGGGTCCATCATGGGAAGCCTAGGGCAACCCACGAGCGAGGAAGAGCTTGATAACATGATCAAAGAGGTTGATTCCGATGGTGATGGTTACATTAGCCTCGAAGAGTTCATCGAGTTGAACACCAAAGGTGTTGATCCTGATGAGGTTTTGGAGAATCTTAAGGACGCGTTTTCAGTCTTTGACATTGATGGTAATGGCTCCATAACCGCCGAGGAGTTGCATATGGTCATGGCTAGCATCGGCGACGAATGCTCCGTCGACGAGTGCCGGAAAATGATCGGCGGCGTCGATAGCGACGGCGACGGCATGATCGATTTCGAGGAGTTCAAGAAGATGATGATGATGGGATCTCACTTTGAATCAATGGGAAGAATTAAGGGGTGAGAGTGAAATTATAATTAATATTTGAAAGGCAATGTTGTATTGCTTCCTTTTGTTTTTCCCATTATTTATTATTATTATAAATTGTTAACGTTGCATGCGTTCCAATTCGTTTAGCTATTTCTTTTTCTTTCTCTTGGAGAAATTGTTGGCTGAAGAAGGGTTTCGGTTGCTAACTTGTTGTTTATGGGAAAGACTAATTGTAGTTTTTAAGGTTCTGGGTCCGATTTGTGTATTGAATCCTTGATTCATTTCTAGTTTCATTCATGGCATAAATGATCACTTTTATAACCGCATTCCGAATATCAATCTATTTTTTTATATATATATTTCAATCATTTATCGCTTCATAACTAATTTGATTTGGAGGGTCTCGAATTTAAGATTTTAAACTCAACCCAAAAATGATAATGGAAAGATCGAAAGCATGCTCTCACGTAACGCCAACTAAGCTACTATCATTTGGTTTCTTAATATCAAACTATGATGTCTATCATTCATAGTATAATATAAGTTTAAGAATATGAAATGAAATTTGGTGTTTGACAAGTACTTAATCCATGGCTCAGTGATCAAAGGAGTAACTTACAGACATTGAACGAGTCCAAAAGGATTACAAAACTCAATCACGTTTGAAAAAAACAAACGCATATTCTCTGGCTAAGTAGTAACGAACACGGGAACGCGGCATTCACAAAATTTACTTTCTCAAAACTAACTTCAAAATTCTCAAAACAAATACACTTAATATATAGGAAAAAGTTATACTTATTATTTTTTTACTTACTTCCAAGTCTTAACCGTTGATTTTCACCAATCTAACGGTTATAATTTATTAAAAATTAATAGTTAATTAATAGGTGTGGCCCAAAAAATTATAACCGTTAGATTGATGAAAATCAATGGTTAAAAAATTTAATAATAAAAGGTAATAAGTATAACATTTCGACATTTCCCTAATACATATCCATCTTGTATTTATATATAATTGCTTTCATTTAAACCCAAATATATCATTCTCGTTTGAGGTTATGATTCTCTTATATATGGGCATAAGAAATTTTATTTTCTAATTTTTTTAATTAGATAGGAGTTTCTTTTGGTACTTTTACGAGGATGTGGTATATATAAAAAATTAATGACCAAACTATATTAATTGTAATGTCACACTGTTTCCCGGATTGGAAGTCACAAAGAACGGTTTTGCGCAAGATGGAAATTAAACAGCGCTGAAACCTCTTTACATTTTTTCTTGCGACATGAACATATTTGGCTATCTCATTTGGAAGGAGAATTAAATCTAAAATACACAATGAGAACTCCATATTGCATCTTTAGTTATTTTCTGTTCTTAAAGGTACCCCACTCCCTATTACAAAACTGTTTGACACAAGACTTGGGTTTTGCTCTACCATTTGCTTGGGTAAAGGAAGGATTTCCTTTACGCAAGTAAAGGGTTGTTTAAATGGTTATTTTCTCAGATAAGGACAATGCCTTACTCAAATAAATATCGAGTTACAAAATAAAATGAAAGTTTGGTATCTCTTCCTTTCCCATATACATATATAAGTCCTTTAATATATATATTCAAGATTGTAGTTTATTGTTATTGTAACACCCCGTGTATATCCGGTTTGTTAACATGTCATTGTATTAAGCCACGCTTAATTAAAAATGCGGAATATTTTTTTCTTTTCAATTATGACGTCATTATCCTTACCAAGTTGAATTACTTAATTCATTTCCAAAACATTGTCTGTATGTAAATGCAAAAGACAGATATCTATACTGAAATAACCTCATATCATAAATACGATCATTAACTATGTCTCTAGTCACGACACAACAACATGTAAGCCGGACAACCCTGATAGTTTATACAACTCAAATCTAAACAACAATACATAATCAAATGTGACATGGACAATCCCCATGCTCACCAAATAAGGCAACAAAGCCCAACAACAGTCTCGACAATAACAACATAATCATAAAATTAACATAACAACATCCAACATATAATCATAACAGCAGACATCTAACTCAGCTCCGGCCTCTTGCCACTGGAGGTCTCAACCCCAGCATTACCTAAACCTGAAATGGTGCCCCAAACGTGGGGTGATATCTCTAAACAGAAATCTTAGTAAGACAAGGGGTCCTCAAGGATCTTCCACCCCAAGCTCACTTACATGTGCAGTATAAGTTCTAAAAGCAGTAATTCAATATCAGTTCCAAAACCAGTGCAGTGCAGCAGATAATCATGTCATGTGTGTTATAACTATTTTACTGATCAGAGAAGTGCAGGAATACGTCTATTACCCACACAGTACACGCCCGCCCATGCTGTACCCGCCCACAGGACTACCCCATGGCTTCCTGTCTAGGCGGAACACCATATACATATCATAAGCATTTGCACTTAACAGCTCAATAGCTTTTCAATAAAACAGTACATGAAAACACATCATGCATATAAACCATCCCCCCATTGGATATGGTGGAACAAACAATGGCTAAACCGAGGACACGAAAGCTTACCTTGCAAGCTAGCTATCCAAGTCAAGAGTTCACACAAGCTCAAGGTCCACACACAGCAGAATCACAATCTATTTTGGACCAACAATCGTATCCATATTCATACTCAACAAGCATACGGTATAAAGACAACGCCTTTCCTTTACGTTTCATGTCTTTAGGCTTCTCACAAAGTCATAAGCCTTTAATTAATTGATTCTGACTTAACAAGTCATTACAGAAGTCAAACTTCATCAATCTAGGGTCCACAAACCCATAGCTCAGTTCTGTATGAACAGTACCTTATTGTTCACGCAAACCCAGAATATCTGGATATATGTCGGGGCCATATCTGAATATCTCATATCCGGATATCATATCTGGATATCTACAGACCCCATATCCAGATATCAATATCCGAATATTTCGCGACAGAATGCAGTTCTGCACTTCGCGAGATACCCTCCCCAAAGGTGGTTCATTTAACGCTTCCAGAAGCTTAAACATGCATTTTAAGGTGTGTTTAACCTTACCCAACCTTAAGTTATCAACTTTAGCTTATTACATGCATCAAGGTTCCATTTTTAATCATTAACTCATGATCAAAGGTTGAGAATGTTTACCAAGCTCTCAAAACAAAGGAAAAGAAGTGATTTGAAGCTCCCAATGCCACTCCACTGAGCAGCAACCAAGAGACCACAAAAATACACTCCAAGGTGGATCCTTTCTCTACAAAGAAAGCTTCTGGAGCTTCCACACTCAAGACAATGGCTCCTTTTTCCCCAACAAAGAAGTCATCCCTCTAAACACCTCAAAACAGAGACCCAACTCAGCAACAAGGTCACCTACCCACTCCCAATGCTTTATCTCACACTCACAAGGATGTTTGATGAAGGAACCAAGAGAAAATATGGCCTCTTGGCTCACAAGTGAAGGGAGGAAGGTGGTGGCTGATGGGGAACAAGGTGCTTCAAAAATGGTTCACGTAGGAATAGAATATGCCCTAGGGTTTTGGGCCAAACTTGCATATTTATAGCGTTTTAAGTCTTAAGCACACAATATTAGCACTAATAGCTACGCTTAACATTTTAATCCCAAACTTAAAATTCTGAACCTACTCATTTTTCTAAGATTTTTCATATTTTTATTTTATTTTTCGCAGCACCTTTCCGATACGCACTTTTCCATAGCCAGTATCAGTTCTGGCACAAGTTCTCATTATTTTAACTTGAAACTTGTTTTACAAGTCCTATATATTATTCTAGGAATATTACCACACTTATTATAATTTTTTGGGATACTTCATCGGTACGTATTTATACCGAGTAGCAGAACTGGTATCTGCACTTTTCGTCAGAAAAACGACTTTCAGCATTATTAAACTTTCTATAATTATTTAGGCCTTCTCATAATTATTAAGGTCAATTATGGAATTATTTCCTAATTTCTCATAATTAATTAATTAACTTCTTTAATTAACGGTGCAGGTTCTTACATTCACCCCACCTTTTTAGGATTTTTCCCCAAAATCAAAAACATACCTGTCTCGGAAGTCGTGGTACTTCCGGAGAACCTCGTCCTCTCGCTCTCAAGTACATTCCTCAGGAGTTCTTCCAGTCCACTGCACTTTGACCATCGGGATGGTCTTGCTCCTCAGCTGCTTCTCGCCACGATCGAGAATATTGAGTGGTCCGACGAGAGTTTTCGAGTTCTCCCGAACCTCCACATCATCCGGTTGCACCACGTGGAAAGGATCCGCTACATACTTCCGAAGCTGAGACACGTGAAATACGTCGTGGATGTTGGCCAAGTTCGGAGGCACGGCAAGCCGGTAGGCAACAGGTCCTACTGTACCAAGGATCTGGTATGGCCCAATAAATCGCGGGCTCAGCTTCCTTACTCCGAGTGCCCGACCAACACCGGTGACAGGTGAAAGTCTTACAAACACGTGCTCACCCTCACTGAACTCCAGTGGACGATGCTTGACATCGTAGTAACTCTTCTGGCGATTCTGCGTCTGCTTCAGCTTTTCCCTGATCAACTGGATTTGTAGGGTAGTATCTTGGACAAAGTCCAAGCCAAACATCTCCTTGTCTCCAACCTCAGACCAGTAGGTAGGGGTTCGACACCTCCTACCATACAACGCCTCGTAGGGTGCCATGCCCAAGCTAGCATGGAAACTGTTGTTGTAAGAAAACTCAACCAATGGCAGGTACCTATCCCATGCCGAACCCTGCTCCAAAGTGCAAGCCCTCAGCATGTCCTCCAATGTCTGGATGGTGCGCTCAGTCTGTCCGTCAGTCTGAGGGTGATAGGCTGTACTCAATTGCAACTGAGTACCAAAAGCTTCCTGCAGCGCCTCCCAGAACCGAGATGTGAACTTCGGGTCCCTATCACTGATGATACTCTCGGGCACCCCATGAAGCATCACAATCTCGCGAACATACAGCTTGGCCATCTACTCGGTAGTGAAGCTCACCTTCACCGGAAGAAAGTGGGCAGACTTCGTCAATCTGTCCACAATGACCCAGATAGAGTCACAACCAGCCTGAGTCTTCGGCAAACCCACCACGAAATCCTTGGAAATGCTCTCTCATTTCCATTCCAGAATCTCAAGATGTTGAAGTTTACTAGACGGCTTCTGGTGTTCTATCTTCACCTTCTGTCAAAACAGATACTTGGACACAAAAACAGCTATGTCCTTCTTCATGTCCGGCCACCAATAGTTCCTCTTCAAGTCCTGATACATCTTTGTAGCACCAGGGTCGACAGTAAACTGGCCCTTATGAGCCTCTGTCATCACCTCAACATTCAAAGGACCTCGAGGAACCACGATCCTCTTCTGGAAGGTCAACAAACTATCCTCATTCCAAGACAACACCGTCCTGGTTCTTTACATAGTCAAGGAACTCTCTCTGCACTTGCGCCTCTTTGATCTTCTCCATGATCTCATTCTCAACTTGCACGGTTTCCATTTCGAGAAGTGCACCCCCAAACAAAGAGGTCACCGTCAGATCCCGAAACTGCTCAATAATATCGTAATGACCCATGGTCAAACTGGATAGACTCACGGATTTCCGACTCAGAGCATCAGCTACCACATTGTCCTTGCTAGGATGGTACTTCAACTCAAAGTCGTAGTCCTTCAGATACTCCATCCATCTCTCTGTCTCATGTTCAGCTCCTTCTGATCAAACAAATATTTCAAGCTCTTGTGATCACTGAACACAGCAAACTTCATGCCATAGAGATGATGCCTCCAAATCTTGAAAGCAAACACAATAGCAGCCAACTCCAAATCATTAGTCGAGTAGTTCTCCTCATGAGGCTTCAACTGCCTCGAAGCATATGCAATCACCTTGCCCAGCTGCATCAACACACAGCCCAGCCCCTTTCCGAAGACGTCGGTGTACTATTCAACCTCCTCAGCAGGATCAGGAAGGACCAATACAGGTGCAGTCGTCAGTCTCTCCTTTAACTCCTGAAAACATTCCTCACAAAAGTGAGACCACACAAATGGAGTCTCCTTCCGGGTAGGGCGAGTCATTGGCAGAACCAACATCGAGAATCCCTTGATGAACCTCCGATAGTAACCTGCCAAACCCAGAAAACTCCTCACTTCAGTAACCGTCTTGGGCCTCTCCCAATCAAGCACGACCTCAATCTTGTTAGGATCTACTGCGACTCCCTCAGCAGAAATCACATGCCCAAGAAACTTTACCGACTTGAGCCAAAACTCACATTTAGAAGGCTTAGCATATAGCTTTTTCTCCTTCAGCACTTGCACAATCCTCAAGTGCTCAGCATGCTCTTTCTCCATCTTTGAGTAATCAAGATATCGTCAATGAAGACGATCACAAACTGATCCAGGTACAGCTGGAAAATCATGTTCATGTAATCCATGAACAATGCGGGTGCATTTGTGAGTCCAAAAGGAATCACCAAATACTCATAGTGACCGTATCTCGAACGAAACGCGGTCTTTGGGACATCCTCCGGCTTCACTCGAATCTGATGGTATCCGGATCGGAGATCTATCTTCGAATACACACAAGCACCCTTCAGCTGATCTAACAGATCGTCAATACGAGGAAAGGGATACTTGTTCTTGATTGTCACCTTGTTCAGCATCTGTAGTCCGTGCACAATCGCATGGTCCCATCTTTCTTCTTCACAAAGATGACCTGTGTTCCTCATGGAGACACACTCGGTCGAATGAAGTCTTTAGCTGAAAGATCCTCAATGTGCTTCTTTAGCTCCGCCAACTCCGGTGGCGACATCCGATATGGAGCTAATAAAATAGGCCCCACACCAGGCAACAAGTCTATGGAGAACTCTATCTCCCGCTGTGGCGGAAACTCAGGAATCTCCTCAGGAAACACCTCGAGGAATTCCCCCAACACAGAAATGCCAGTGATATCCTCTTGTGCCCCACTCACCAAACCTCCCAACATGACATATCCAAATGCCCCTGCTCTCAAGGCTCTCCTAGCCTGCAACAATGAAATATATGGCGAAAAACTGGTTGTGGAATCACACGGAGACATCACCACTCGCTTGGCACAACAGTCAATCATCACACAATTTCTGGACAACCAATCCATGCCCAGAATAATCTCCAAATGGCCATTGGCAATCCTATCAGATCTACCGAGAACTCACGGCCATCCCACTGAAACGCTACATCGCGATGAACAGTTGTAACACCCCCAAATTTCTAACAATTTATGCAACATTATTTTAATAAACAAATTGCCAAAATTCACGTTTTATTTATTTATGATCATAGAAATATTGCAGAAGCTAATCTAAAACTAATTTGGGGAAATGTTACCGCCGCACCTGTACATGGACAAGTGCAAGGCTAACTCTAATATATTCATAAATATTAAAATAAAATCAGAGACTTTGTTTTATACATAAAATTTAGAACTAGCTGAAAATTCTCCAAGTCATTATCCTCACTGCCTACCGCTAGCCCCATCTTTTGCAACCTGTATCACTGAAAATCTGCTCCCCCAGAAGGATCATTGCAGACAAACAAACACAAAAGTCAGCAAAGCTGGTAATCCTAATCAAAAACATAATTTACATAACTCAAATATAGTAATCAAATTAAATATATAATTTAATAATAATTGAATCAAATATCAACTTCATCATATATATAAAATATTCTCATCATAATCAGATCAAATATCAACTTCAATATATATTCACATCGAATCAAATATTATTCATGATCTTTATTAAGTTTTTTTAGTGAATGTAGTGGGAAGAGAACCATGGTAGACCTGGGAAACACTGTTGCCAGTCTACCCCGTGACCCGGGAAACCCTGTTGCCAGCCACGTATAATCAAAATTAGCCATCATCAAAATATCAAATTCTAGTGTGCACACCTCTTCCCAAAGTTGCTACTAGTACCCCGGGAAACCCTGTTGCCAGATACCACTTTGGGAAGAACGAAAACATCATTGTCACATCAAATAAATATCAAAGGCATAAAGCCCAAAGGTTGTGTTCATCACTTTCAGGAGGTACCATCCCAAAAGCTATCTTCCCACTATTATTTATTACAATCACACACAATCAATGAAATTCAATCTTGTCACAATCCTTATAATTGGAAAATTTCCTCAAATATTTTTCATAATTTCCACATCAATTTAGTCAAGATTATAATTTTCAAATTTAATTTTTCAAGTATATCATAATTTCCAAATCCATTATCCAAAATATCATAATGTTCATATTCATCATCTACCAGAGTAAAACACAAGTCCAATTATCATATCATAATTTTCCAAATCAGAATTCAAATGTTCACATTTATTAGAGTAAAGCCAAAGTCCAATAATCAACCCAATTAATTTCTAGAGGTTAAAATAATTTAATTTAAATACCCTAAGGGTTACATATAATATATGAAAATATCCTAAAATTCCCTAAGGATTAAGATAACATTTAACAAATTTAATATAAAATTATCCTACGATCTCCTAGAGGATTACATATACCAAATTTCATCTAAAAATAATTTAAGATGTCCTAAGAATCAGGATTACATCAGATAAAATTTCTTATAAAAAGTTAATCTATTATTTCTAAAGCATTAGGATTATACCCAGCAAATTTCGTATAAAACCAACCTAAGAGCACCTAGGGATTAGGATACCTAGGGATTAGGATTACTTAAATTAATTGATTATTCCATGAAGATTAGAATCACATATAATAAATTTAATAGAAAACATAACTATAGTGCCCTAAGCATCGAGATTACATCAAAAATTCATATAAAGCTAACCCTTGACTCTCTAGGGATTAGGATTATATATAAGGATTATGCCCAAATTTCATATAAAAGAGATAACCTACAAATACCTAAGAATTAGGATTACATAAATTTCAAATAAATAAAATAATTATTCCATGAAGATTAGAATCACATCTGATAAATTTAATCTAAAACATAACTATGACCTTGATCATCTGTCAACGTCAAGCTAATGACGTTAAACAAGCGCTTGTTGGGAGGAAACCCAACAGATTTATGCTTTTATTTTATTTTGCCGCATTTACTTTTTATTTTTGTTTATTTTATTTAACTTTAGTTTAAACTTTTGATCTTCATGGTGATATATTTGGACAATCTTCTGATGCTTCTGATTATTTTTGTTGTTATTACGTGTTCCTTGTTTCTTATGTATAGTCCATTGCTGAGGACAACAAAATTCTAAATCTGAGAATGGGGAGCACCGCCATATACAGTAGCAGTCAGACTTCCCTGTGAAGATGCAAAGAGCCACAAAATTTTTCAAAAAAACAGGGAAAATTCTTTTCCTTATTCCTCTTTATTTTATTTTATCTCTTCTCTATGTTTGAATTATTGAATCATGTTAAGTAAGAATTAGTCAGTAAAAATTAATTTATGATGTGATGACTTAGAATATATATTTTTTTTTTATGAATAAACATTGATTGAGTTAGTCTAAGAATCAGTAAGAATAATAAAATTACAGTATGAGTGATTGAGAAAGAGCATAAATTACTGAATTGCACACATATAACCGTGAGGTTTGAGCCTAAACAGAAACTTCTTTTCAGTTTGCATTTCACTGTTGAAAATATTATCAGAACTTGCTTTGTTTCTCCTTAAAATGGTTGTTTGCATGCATGTTTGAAATGATTGAGGCATTTTATTGTTTTAACTAGTTAGCCAAAAAGTCAACCATTATGATATCCTTTGTTTAGTCCCTTTAAGCCTAAGCCTTTTCTGTTCTTAATATCTGTTGTCTTAATTAGCCACTCCAAATACACATCTACCTTAAATAAAATTGGATAATAGAAAACTTATGGTAGGGTGTAAACATGAGTACTTTATCATGTAATTCAAAAGTGGTGAAAAAAAGAAGGTTAGGTGAATGGAGCAAAAGGAAAGGTTGGAAAATGGTGAAAAATAAAAATATTTATTGTTTCTATGAAAATAAAAGTGTTGAAAGAAAATGAAAATGAAAAAAAGTATTGGAGGTTGAAAAAGAAAAGCATAGAAAAAGAAATAAAAGTGCTAAAAAAAAAGAAAAAGGAGGAAAGAAAGGAGAAAAGAGATTATTTGTTTGAGTGTTTACACTTTACTATGATATTTATGTGTTCCAATGTTATAAGTAATTTTCTCTTAATTTTTCTACCTTTAACCCAGCCCTATTACCACCTGAATAAAGACCTCTTGATCTTTTGTGCATGTGAATTAACTGTGGAAAGTGAGAATATTATCAAGCTTATGAAAATATTGATACAGTGAAAATTTGAGTGAAACACTTACCCTTAGACAGATGAGTGATGAGTGACTTGATATATCTATTGAGGGATGTGTTAAAACTCAGTTTTATGCTTGATTGACTGAACTCATACTTTGATTTTATAACTTGCTCACTTTCAAGGCTGCTTAGCTAATTGTTTGTTCTTAAAAATTCTATTATTGTTTGATCATTTTTAAATTGATATACTGTCTAGTTTTATATTAAGCTTGCTTACATTATTCCATGTTTTTAATTCAATTCATTGCTGAGGACATCAATTAGTAAATCTGGGAATGATTTGATAAGTGTCCAAGACACTATGTTTTTATGGTTAAAAAGAGTTCAAATAATAATTAAAATAACTAAAAATATAATGTTAATTAATAAAATATTAAAAGATAGTAAATTGCAAACAAATGGATAAGATCCTAATCTTTGTTGTTGTTTCACACTAGAATAGCAAATTGCAATCAAGAAGGATAAAGGCAGTTGCAAAGGATAAGGATCAAGAAAAATAAAGAATTAATCAAAATTAATCCTCAGCGAGTCTGGTCCAAATTAAAAAGCCAATTTTTATTTTTATAAAAATGCACGTTAGGGCTCATTCTATTTATTCTTGAATTTGGAAGACGGAGGACAGCAGAGCTCATGATGGCTGCGGCTTAGGAAAGGGAAAAGCTCCATTCCGGGCCTGAGGAGCAGAGAAACGGTCAAAGCTTTACCGTGGAGATCGGGTTTTATGTTTCTTTTATGAATCTTTATAGTTTCTTAGTATCTTTTGATATTGTTTTTATAATTATGCATAGCTAAATTTCTGTTAGTAGTTAGGAAGATACGGAACCAATGGGTTCTTAGTTGATGTTTGTTTATTCTTATGAATTACATTCTTGTTTCTAAATTATGCAATCAATCTGATATTTATGCTTAGTTTTATTTATGACTTGATCACTCGTAGATAAACATATGAGTCATATATGACAATAGGAATGTTGGTGTATGATTCTGATTGGTTGATTGCTGGAATTTGCATGATCTAGGGATAGACTTGTGAATTTTATAACTGTGAGTTCTTGCGTTAATGCTTATTTTATGAAAAAGTACTAAGGGATTAGGCTTTGGATTAGAATAAAAGATTAGATTACTAAGAGATTTGGATTTAGTCAATTATAGAAAGAGCTGTTAATAATTTAATCTTGAATGTAATCGTAAGAATAGACAAACTCGTTAAGAAACCATGGGGGAAGTTGAATTCTAACTATGCCTTTTATTGAAAACTTAAATCAATTTCTTTTAGCTTTAATTAATTCTGAATTAAATTTCTAAAATATTAAAAACCAAAAATAAGTTCATAAATTCTGCTTTTAATATAATCACAATATCCTCAAGAAAACCTTTAATGATCGATCCAACTTTGATTAAATAAATAAATTATTGCTTGGTCATCAGTCCTCGTGGGATCGACAACTCTACTTTATCACTTTATTACTTGTACGACCGGTGCACTTGTTGAGTTCGTCAACAGTAGCCCCAGAGTCAAACAAGACATCAACATCATCCACCAATGGAAACAGTACCTCTGACAAGGTTCGGAGCTCGGTCCGATTGCTACCGATCCAAAGTGTAAACTCGCCTAGTGGCAGGTGGCACAATAGATACGTGCCTGTGCCGCTGTAGGTGGAAGGGGAACCATATGTAAATTTTTTAAAAAGACATACGATGTCCATAGGCTGTCAAATTTATGAGGTGATGATTTAGCTATTCTGTATCAACAGTTTAGCCATGCATGAAGAGTCGACATCTAGGCGCAAGGCTGATGATAATGTTCTAGACGGAGCTGTTCCTGCATATCTTCTGGATCGTGAGAACACGACCAGAGCAAAGGTATGTCACACATGCAGTTTTGAAAGTCAAACAATCCTTACTTCTTATTCTGTTGCACGTAATCTGATAAATTTCTATTTTTAGGTTCTCAGCAACACCATTAAGCAAAAGAGGAAGGAGAAGGCTGGGAAATGGGATGTTCCTCTGCCTAAGGTAAGATTGCATTCAATACTTTGTACAGATGATGTTAAATGATATCTCTTGCATGAAATTTGCTTCCCATTCCTATTTGTTGTGCATCTTTTGTTTTCTTTTGGAAGCAAAGCGGGGGGGTGTTCCTTTTGAGTAATTATGGGAATGTATGCTTTCCAATTTCTTCAGGTACGTCCTGTGGCTGAAGATGAAATGTTCAAAGTTGTCCGGTCTGGTAAAAGGAAAAGTAAGTATTATATTTCAGCTTCTTACATTATTCATATTTAGCTATCCTAAGTTAAATATTAGCTTCGGGTTTTATGTTCTTGATTGTGCCACATGATCAAAAAGGTATAAAAATGTTATTTTCAAGTACTAGTTACATACATGATTGTCATTTCTTTATCTTTCTGCAAATCATGTGTTTTTACATTTCTTGGTTCCCTCCTCCCCTTCTCAGATTGTTTATGGACAAAGGCAACTTGGATAGATTGTAGTTCTTGCATTTTTGTGGGTGGCTAATGATTGAAAGCACAAAAAATCTTTAGTCATGGTCTTGTGGTTTCCTTAAATGATCGGATAATTTTCTTTCTTGCTTGTGAAGGTGTCCTACTGTTTTGTTTCTATAGTCTCTTAGTTTATTGGATAAGGGGTATTAGACAAAATGCATATTGATCACTGACAAAAAGACATCTGATAGTGTATGGCTTACTGTTTTGCAGCTAAGCAATGGAAGAGAATGGTTACAAAAGCTACATTTGTTGGGCCTGGTTTTACCAGAAAACCTCCAAAGTATGAGCGGTTCATTCGTCCTACAGGGTTGCGGTTCACTAAAGCTCATGCCACTCATCCAGAACTTAAATGCACATTTAATCTAGAAATAATTGGAGTGAGGAAAAACCCTAATGGCCCTATGTACACCTCTCTTGGTGTCATGACCAAGGGAACTATAATTGAGGTATTATATTTGCTGCTGCTCTTCTAGTTGAGGGTTATTTTCATACTCAAAATTTAAGCCATCTAATTTAATCTCAACTTGCCCTTAATTTTCATGCATTTATATTTACTAAACCCAAATTTAAATGTAGTATGAGTTATTACAAAATGTGTGTTACTTATTTCCCTGTTAACTGTAATTTCAGGTGAATGTTAGTGAGCTTGGCCTGGTCACACCTGCGGGGAAAGTTGTGTGGGGTATGATAATTTGTGTTACTTGTATTCTGGTTTTGTCACCATTGGCTGAAATTTTAACTGAAATTGATGCGTTGGATTTTTGTTTGCCATGAATGCAGGTAAATAGGTTACCAATAACCCAGAAAACGATGGTTGTATAAATGCAGTTTTGCTTGTTTAAGGTTATAGCAAGGATTGGAGTTGGAACTTGACTTCAAAAGCAGTGGTTATGCTTATACATTTTATGGAGCATAACCACTGCTTTTAGATAAGACACAAGTCTGAACAGCATCTTTTATGCTTATACATTTCATTATATGGAGCAAAACCTCATCAGGCAAGTTACTCAGACCATCCCTGTCCCCAATCTTCTTCTCTCTGTCTCTTCATCTTCATCATCAAAGTTAAACAACTGCTTATTGAGTTCCGAAATTCTAAGAAATCAACTCAAAATAGGAACAACAGAGCAACACAACACAAACAATTAACAAGCCAAACTATAAAGTACCTACCAAGTCAGTGAATGAGAATAATGTCACGATTCCTTAAAATTGAAGAGGCAACCACAGCGAGACGCAATACTCCGTCCTAATTTGGGGGAAACAGAGAACTGAATATCTTCTACTAGTGAAGCATTTTTGTTTTCGATTAGAATAGTGACATGTTCTATGATTCTTCTCATCATTTGGATAGTCAATAAAATGAGATCTAGCTCTTCAACATTTTAAGTTAGGCAATTAAGGTAAATTTTTAAAGTTTATTTGCAAGACGCAACATTTCAGGTAGTTGTGTTTTTATGTTATGGTAAATATGTTATCATCATGTACTGCCAAATTGTAATGATGAACCACTAATGCATTTGACAGGCTTTAAGTTTGAAGTCCTAAAAAACATTTTTGCCCTGAACCTAAAAGGAATATGTATGTTTCACAATCTGGATTTTCAGTCAATATTTGAAAATCCACAACTAGGCCTTTGAGTATCCAGTTTGTTCACATTTTGAGGATTGGCAATAGATGTGCTGATTTTTTAATAGACGTGGGCTCCATATAAGATGTGTCTACAACATGAGAAATTTTTTTCCTATTGCGTGAGAAAATCAAAACCCGGGATACATATACAAAATATTAAAGGAAAGACAATTTAATCTTGGCTGACAAGCTGAGGAGATTGACGGGCATGATCCACTGAAATTTGGGGTTCAACCACCTGCAACAATTCTTGTCAAGTCTTCCACTTGATGAACAACTAGGAGCCCAATTTTGCAATTGATGGCGAAGTCTTCACAATTGCTCTTGAAAACATTATAGCAGCCAAAGCCATTTTCAAATCAAAGACTCCGATCCAATCAGTGCTTGTCATTTGTCAACCAAGAGAGATATAATATTGTAAAAGCACCGTACTACAAACCTTTTCCAAAAGATTGCCATGTTCAATGCATTTGAAAGAGGTACTATCACAGTAGAGCGAAACAATGATCATTTTGTCCCGCTTGGCAAAAAAACTATCAGACTATTATATCAACAGTAAATTTTTCCATAATATCACGTAGGATAATTCGCTACACTGTGTAGCAAAATATGCTTGCAAATAATTTGCTACACAGTCTAGTGAATTATGCCATGTCAGAATCCACAGTTAGTAAGAATGACATGTGTCAAGCAGGTTGTAATTTGCTACACAGTGTAGCAAATTATGTTTGCGAATGAATTTTTGACACGTGGCACACTGTTAAGCACCTTTTTAGCAGAAAAGGTTAAGCTTGGAAAACAGAGAATGTGCAATTTTTCTCCTCCTTTTATTCAAGTAACAGACCCCTTATATAGGGATTACATTCCAACGTTCACTACCCACGATCCCGTATACATAGGACCTCTAATAACACAACTTACAAAGTGGGAAAATGACAAACTCATAAAATAGAAACTACCTAAGTAACCGACAGAATGTGGAAACTAATAAATAACTACCCAAGATAATCATGCGCATATCCCATAACTCACGAGATGGAGTTAATCCTTTGACATCTTCAGCTATGCACATAGTCAGATAAATAAGACGGTGCTTTACGTATGCGTGGCTCACGTGTTGTTGACATGGGGAACGTATCATCCCCCTGCCCTTGAAAACAAACCTTGTCCCCAAGGTTTTCAATATCGGCATCAGGAAGTGCAGGTATGTTGGGGTCAATTGGTTCTCCAACGAATGGCTTAAGCAATGCAACATGGAATACTGGGTGTATCCGTGAAGTGGACGGTAATGATAGTCGGTAAGCGACTTGACCAACTTTGTCCAGAATTTGAAAAGGACTATAATACCGTCGAGATAACTTGTAGGACTGACGGTGTGCGACAGACTGTTGCCTGTAGGAATGCAACTTCACCAAAACCCAATCGCCAATATTGTAGTGACGGTCTGTCCTCTTCTGATCAGCATGTGCTTTCATTCTTTGCTGTGCACGGTGCAAATTATCTTTTAACAAGCGTAAGAGTGTGTCCCTATCCTTTAAAACCCGATCAACAACGAAGTCAGCTGAGCCACCAGAAATATAATCTGGTATAGTAGGTGGTGGGCGTCCATAGAGAGCCTCAAATGAGGTCATTTTGGTTGATGAATGGAAAGTGGTATTATACCAATATTCTGCCCAATGGATATACTTAGACCAAGAGGATGGCTGATCCACAGTGAAGCTACGAAGATATTGCTCAAGACATCGATTAACAACTTCGCTCTGCCCATCGGTTTGTGGGTGATACGCTGAACTCATTTGCAGCTTGTTCCCTTGTTGTTTGAAGAGTTCTTGCCAAAAAGAACTGAGAAAGATAGACCCACAGTCTGTTGTGATAGTCTTTGGTAAACCATGTAGCTTGCCCGCATTAGAAACATAAGCTGTTGCAGCAGTAACAGCAGTAAAATGAGAAGGCATTGGTATGAAGTGAGCATACTTGGAAAGTCGATCGACGACCACCATTATGGATGACTTGTCATGAGAAGGAGGGAGTCCGGTGATGAAGTCCATGGTGACATCGTCCTAGACGCGGTCCGGTATGGGAAGTGGCTGAAGGAGTCCCTGTGGCGATGTAGTGGCATACTTGGTCTGTTGACAAATTAGGCAATGTCGTACCCACTTTTTGATATCCAGCTTCATATGTGGCCAATAGAATCCTTGAGTGAGGCGGCGTAAGGTCCTATAGAAACCAGAATGGCCACCCATGGGGGTATTGTGGTGCTCTTCAAACATTTCTTTACAAATTGGTGAACCAGCAGGAAGGTATATCCTATTCTTAAAGAAAAGCAAATCATGAGTAATACGATGGTGAGGATAGGAAGAAGGATTCTTACTGATGGCCTCCATTAGTGTGCTGGTTTTGGCATCTTGCTTGAGATGTGTCGTAATACGGTTGGAAAGAGCAGAGATGGGAACTGAGAGTGCTAGTAATGCTGACTCTGGGCTTCGTGACAATGCGTCAGCAGCTCCGTTTGTTTTGCCTGGCTTATACACAATACGATATTGAAAACCCATTAGCTTATAAAGCCACCGTTCTTGTTCCGGTGTGTGAATTGATTGTGTGAGGAGATATTGGAGGCTATAGTGGTCAGTGCGGATGAGAAACTCTCGTCCAAGCAAATAGTGGCGCCATTTTTGCACGGCCTCTGTGATGGCGCAAAGCTCCCTGACATAGGTGGATGCTGCACGAAGCTTCAGGGAAAACAACTTGCTATAATATGCAAGTGGGTGACCATGTTGAGTTAAGACTGCACCCAAGGCTGTCTCGGACGCATCAGTCTCAATACAGAATGGGACAGTGAAATCCGGAAGTTGCAGGACAGGGGCTGTGGACAGCGCATGCTTAAGGGCAGTGAACGCTTGTTCTTGTTGCTCGGACCAATGAAATGCATTGTGGCACAATAGAGAGGTTAGTGGTGCAGCCAAAGCAACATACTGTTTGATAAAACGCCGGTAATATCCAGTAAGTCCGAGAAAAGCCCGGAGTTGTGTGGTGGTACGAGGAGCTGGCCAAGCTAAAATGGCTTGGATCTTATCTTGATCAACAGAAATACCGCTTGCAGACACCACGTGCCCTAAGTAGTGGATAGTCTCTTGGCCAAAAGAGCATTTGGAAAGCTTAATGTGTAAGCGATTTTTGTCCAATGCTGAAAACACTGCGGCAAGGTGGTGCAAGTGGGCTTCCCAAGTTGGACTGTAGATCAATATATCGTCAAAGAAGACGAGAACAAATTTGCGTAAGAAGCTAGCAAAAATGGAGTTCATGGTGGCTTGGAAAGTGGGGGGAGCATTGCATAGGCCAAAGGGCATCACACAAAACTCATAGTGACCGTGATGAGTGCGAAACGCAGTCGCTGAAACTGAGTCAGAATGCATCCGAATTTGGTGAAACCCGGAGCGGAGGTCAAGCTTTGTAAAGTACTTAGAGCCATGAAGTTCATCAAAGATTTCATCAATGGTGGGAATGGGGAAGCGGTCTTTAATGGTTAAGGCGTTTAAAGCTCGAAAATCGACACAGAAACACCACGTACCATCTTTTTTTCGGACCAAAAGTACGGGTGAGCTGAATGGGCTGGTACTTGGTTGAATGATCCCCTCCTCAAGCATGCTACGTACTTGGCGTTCAATCTCTTGTTTTTGAAAGTATGGGTAACGGTAAGGTTTAACATTAACAGGTTTGGATCCAAGTGTAAGGAGTATACGATGGTCTTGAGGGCGGGGTGGTGGTAGGCCGTGAGGAGGGTTGAGGAGGTGTTGGTATGGTTGGAGAAGATTGCGGATGTCGGTGGTTATTGGAGGGTCAGGAACAGATGATGGGGTAGGCAAGAGTTCTAGTTGGTAGAGTGTTGCAATGGAAGAGGTGGTGAGGTGGCGTCGAATGGTTGGTGAATTAATGGAGGAAGGGGTGGGAATAAAGCCGTTTAGGGTGATAGGTTCGGAGTTGATGGTGAAGGAGAGTGTTAGGTGGCGATAGTCAAAGGTGACGGGGCTAAGTTGGCTTAACCACTGGACACCGAGAACAATATCTGCACCATGCAAGGGTAGTACATAGAGGTCAATAGTGAAGAGGTGACATGCCAAGTGAATGGGGACATTATGACAGAGACCAGAACACAACAATGTATCTCCATTACCAACCGTAACATGGAATGAATGTGAATTATCAATGGGAA